GGGGGGCTGGGACCCAACTCTCTGTGCTGACAGTATTCATTAGTGATGGTAATTTATTTTACACTGATATAACAATGTGGCAGTCTCAAGTAGATAAAGATTACAATGTACACATGAGACAAATGGACGCCGTGGCATCTTCTGGGCACGGACACGGACATGCCGTATTAACAGTCTACTGTACAAAAAATGCAAACCACTTAAATGACAAACTTAATAGTTTCCCCCTATTCTTAAAGCCCATGTTGAGTTTGTGTTTCAATTAAGCATGTTAATTGCAAACCTTAAGGAAACCTTGTCGGGTAATAGCAGAACTGTTTGTTTATTCATACTTGAGTTTTCTCAGTGAGATAACAAAGCTCTGCGGCGGCGCTTTGGAATGAGCCGAGGTTATTAACGGCTTCTGCTGTAAGAATTCATTACGATGGATATCAAGGAAGGAGAAAAAAAAGGAAAAAGAAGATGAAAAATGAAATTTGGTTGACAGTTTACTAGCCTCGCTTTCAAAGGAAAACCCTATCAGACGCTATGAGTGAAATAAGTAAATGTGTTCAAACGAGGGGCCCTTACTTCTCTTTGGGAAAACAAGAGCAAGAGGTTGTTTGAGGGGAGATCAAAGACTGTTTGTGTTGGGGTTTGTGCACGTGTGGTGTGTGTAGTTTTCTTTTCATGTGCACGTATCTCAATTTGTGTGTGTGTGTGTGTTATCCTTTTACAGTTTTTCTTAAAAAAAAAAAAAAGTGACCAGGGCATTTGTTTACCTCAACTGGAGGAGGTAAGAAGCACTTATTTGCAGAAGGCTTATATAAGAGCCTGATGTAAATATGCAATTCAATTTGTTTGATCAGCATAATTAGTACTGTTTGCTTTTTGATGCCTCATTTTGCTAATAAAATATAATATAAACTACGTGCTTTATGCTCCAAACAAATGAATCTACCACACCTGAAGGTGCGCTGCAATGTTATTTCCCAGAAAATATTTAGCTTCTAAGCTAAACTTGACTGTTAAGCTTACCCAAGCAAAGTCAATCAAGGGCGAATTGCTGTTCTTTCTTAACCTAACTCTGAAGCAGTCAGGCCCCTCTCTCCCACAACGCTCAATCCCAAAGCTTTTTCCCCCCCCCTATCTATCCACTATCCTATTTTTCTCCCGCTGTAATCAACATAGTGATTAGTAAACACACGTCACAAAAAAACATCTAATTACACACTTCCAGTCTCCTGATCTGCAGTCGATATGCCTGAGAAATATAATCATTCTTTTCGAAAAGCCAAGCCGGTCTTTCCAAAAGCCTATTTATGATGTCGCGTATTTCCATTTTAAAGAGTCGACGTCTGCCTGTGGATAAGCAAAGAAAATAAAGAGGGAAAACTGGGGGAAGAGTAAAAACCAGAAACTCCTTTTTTTCTTTCGGGTGATTCTTTTGTGGTGAGCAGGAGAGGGGGTGATCAAATGTCGAGCCATTGTTTGCCACTGCTTTAATTAATTCTGCTTGTTATCTCTGAGCACAGAAAAAGACCCCGTTGGTTCAGAATGGAAATGGAGCAGTGGTGGTGAAGGAGGAGGGAGACGGGAGAACAACAGCTTGGAGGTAAGGATTGGGAGGAAGAGAAAAAGGAATAACACAAGTTGTATTTGGGAAAAAAACCTCCACTTATTAACCAGCTATACATGAGCGGAAGTGATCGCACAGGTTATTTATGCATGGTAGATTAATGCACAGCCAACAGCCCGAGTGAATATTGTGATCCAATTAAAGGGAAAAAAAAAAAAAAAACACACCCTAGTGGACCAATAGAAACAAACATAAAATTAATTAGTGCTCAAATTTTGCTGCATCATGTGAAAAAACAAACAAATGCAAATGATGTATTTGGAAATTGAGGCAAGCGGTGCTCAAATACCTAAAACAAAATAAAACACACACACACACACACACACAAAAACCATACGTATATAAAGAAAGCTGGTACGCAAACTCTGAGAGCATAGTGACTAACTTTCATAGTCAAAATCTGCTTCACTCTGAGGACTGCTTAGACCAGAATCTGTGAAGGACAGCAGACATAAAGGAAATGGTTTCAAAAAGGCTGTAATGCAACACAAAATGCCATGTTAACAGAAAATATGAAATGTGCAACATAACACAAGGGCATGAAGTAAAACACAAGGGTAATATTACCTCGGTTCATCCCACAGGGTGGCCTAAATTATGTTATTTCAGTTTTCAGGCCAAACTGACACACAGACGTGATAAAGTAGGGCAAACATTTCCAAATCTTAACACAACTTCCCGTCCACCACCAATTAGCAGTCAGTGCCAGATTCCCACTTGGGGGCCGACTGGTTGGCTGAGGGTGTCAGCCTCTGTGGGCCCGTGGAAAAATTTCGTCTGCCAACCCCCATATCAGCGGCTATAGAGATCAGCGATAAGAAAATTGATTTGCTATATTTAAGCCTTTATAAACAGCAGTTGGAAAGGCCCCATCCGGAGGACTGTGAGGAAGACAGAGAAGGGAAAAACAGCTTATGTTTGCTGGTGAAAACTAACTCTGAAAGGTTCCTTTGTTTGTGGCTTCATGCCAAAGCACCAGGAGTGAAAGGTGTGGAAAAGTGTCCGCATTCTTGGCTGACAGCTGTGGAGCCGGAGCTGATGGGAGTCAGAGCTCCGAGGAGGGTGGTGACGGTTCAAAATCTTATCTGCTCCAGAGTAGAAATCCTCCGGGGCTCCAGCCGGCCGATATTACGTCCGTGTAGACACAGGTGTCCCCGACCGTTCAAGCAGAAAGGAGCCATCTGTGACAGTATTAACAGGACATGTGGCCAAGAGATGGCATGTGATGGGATGTGTCCAACCTGCCCATCAAGCAAAGAAAAATAGATTTTGCAGAGGCTGAAAGCTGTCATCAGAGTGATAGGGTCGATCGCGTAATACAAAGATGGCAAGTTTTATCCAACTGAATCGAGATATTATGTTCAGCTTCACGTGTAAGAAGTGAGAAATTAATGGAACGGAAACAAGATTAGAAGACTTACAGGCTAAAGCGGGATTTTATTAACGAAAAAAAAAACAAACAGTTACGCTTGAGTCTCCAAAATATAGCTGCAAAAACAAGCATTCATGGCTTTACATTGACGTCTATAGGAGACAAGACGTCACTGCAGTGATGCAAAAGGAGCGCAGTGAGATGAAGACATTGAACATCCCCCTCTCCCTAATTGATTTGTGACAATGACTAATTAAACCTAGTGGGTGGTGCTCTGAACCGCTGTCTCTAAACGTCATTCATCACAGCATGAAGAAAGTACAGGCATGTCTGATTATGTTCATACGGAAGTGTGTGTTATGTGTGTGTTTCCACAGAACTGTGAACGGGAGGACTTGGCCGTTCAAGTTGTTGTGACGTGAGAGTGATGCTTCTTTTGTAGATAAATATAGTGAAGAACATATGTATTATTTTATATGCTGTATGCAGGGGTTTTCTTTTGTTACATAGTTGTCACACTCGCACGTTCTAGATAACCAAATGACTTTCAATATTAGACAAATATGTAAGAAAGGAATTGCACCCCCACAAAAACCTTGATGGATCATAAATTTACTGTGAATAACAACAGTTTTTGGAAAGCTGATTTCAGTTTTAACAGCCACAACAAGACTTGATTACTGCTAGACATGCTGAATCAATAAATCCCTTAAAAAGAATTTGTCTGACAAAGTGAGGTAGGCTAAAAGATCTGAAAAAGCAACACATCGTGCCAGGGTTTAAAGAAACAACTGAGAAACAAAGCCATTGGCATCTATCAGTCTGGAAAGGGTTACGAAGCTATTTCTAAGGCTTCGTGACTCCAGTGAACCACAATGAGAGCCATTATCCACAAATGGAGAAAACAGAATGAAGTGTCCCAGAAGCGACTGGCTCACCAAAATTACTCTAAGAGCGCAGTGACGACTCATCCAGGAAGTCACAAAAGAACTCAACATCTAATTTGCACCTTCATTGCCTCACTTGCCCAAATTAAAGACAGTGTTCATTATTCAACATTATAAAAGAGACTGGGCAAAAATAGCATCCATAATGAACAAAAAGAACACAGGCCTGTCTCACATTTGTCAAAAAAAAAAATCTTGATGAAGACTTTTGGGAAAATATTCTGCGGACTAACGAGACAAAACGTGAACTTTTTGGGAAGTCTGAGTCGCGTAATGTCTGGTGTAAAGCTAGCACAGCGTTTCATAAAAAGAACACAACACCTACAGTGAAACATGGTAGTGGTAGTGTGATGGTCTGGGGCTGCGTTTGCTGCAAGATTGTTTTTGATTTTTCATTAAATGGAAAAGTTCCATCGCTGCTGACATCAAGAGCATGGCACGGTCATGTCGATGCAAGAGGTGCCAAGTCCAATAAGCACGGGGTGCCCGGTACAAGCCTTTTCGGCCACTTTTTAGCACCTTCACGTTAAAGTTGTGATCATTTTCATCAGCAACCTAATGACTAAACAGGAGTTTTAAAAAGAGAAGAGTCCATAGTTTCCAAGACCCAAGATGGAATACAAGTTTAGGATCACGACCAGGAGGAGGGTTGCTGTTTATTTTTTCCAAAATTTACTGGGTTGTGTGCTGAGTTCAACTTCTACTCATGATGGGTCTAATGGAAGACATTGAGTGCAAAGGTCCTGAAATGTGGTGCAATTACAATTGAGTGCTACATCAGGACATCAGGGCTGCAGCAGCAGAACAGTGTGATGCACTGAAGAATGCGTTCAGAAAGTGTTCCAAGCATGGCAGCTGCATTGGAGGCAGTGTGTCACAGCCAAAGGACTTCAGATAACGCTGAGGGATGGTGGTCAAATTCAAATCATGTTGCCGCAGTCACAGAACATTTTGATCATACCCCATATGACCCTCGGGAAATCGAACTCATCACATGAAAATGTTTATTATAAGTACATTTAATTATTTCTTTATTGCTAGTTGGAGCGTTGTGATAATCACTAACTATTGTAGGAAAAAAGCTTTAACTTTAATATAAAGAAGAGTAGACAAAGAATAAAATGATGAAGAAAAAAAAGCGAGCACTCTGGGCGAAAGGGAGGGCTTAGCTGCAGATAGACCGTAGATATCCACCGAGTCGTGATGCTTCATTACTTTGGCCCCATTTGCCAATTAAACCCTAGGCACAATGGAAGTTAATGACAAAACAAGTCACTCTGTGCCCCAAGGAGTTATGGGATGTCATTGTGAGGCTGTCATATCACCTACAGGCTTTTAAGCATACATGGACAGGCGTGCACAAACACACAAGATGTGCGCACTCTCTCTGAAACATGATGCCTGTTGGAAGGCTAATCAAAAACATATTTTATGTTCCTCAGCACTAGGGGTCAGCGAGCACACATTGCCGACACGGCATATGCTCGGCTGGATTGGAGAGGCCTTGGATAACTGCACGGGGAGTATGCTCATTTGAACAATGGTCGCTATTAGCTGATGGGGATGTTCACAAATGCTCACCGGCCCACTTAATTGGGCTAAAATGTCCATTTAAATTAAATTCCCCGGGTGCGGAGATAACGACAGCGTCCAATTCTGCGGAACAACGGCGAGGCTGTGGAATGAGAATGCTCGTCGAGTATAAAGACAAGTCTTAACATATACTGGTGACTGTTGTATAAAAGAGGGCAAGCATTTGTAATGAGAGTGACTATTATTTAAGGAAGGCTGAAGGACAGCGGTAAGCACAGGAGAAAATCTCAAAACGTAAGAGCGGCCACTATAACATTGTGGTTACAGAAACCTCTGATAGGACTCTGAATGTCAAGCAAGATAAAGATGGGAACAGTAGCATTTCTCTGTAAGTGTCTCTGTGAGTCTCCTTGCTTCTCTGTCCTCTGATGTAAAGAAATCTCTCTTTCCTTCGAAGATACAAACTCAAGGCGGCATGTCCGGGCTGAAGAGAAATGCTTTATTTTGAAATCTGAGCCTTTTGATGGAGCAGAGACTGGCCATGGATGACAGATGGATTTCCAAAAAAACATCCCGGCTCGAAGACAGAAAGACGGCAGGCAAAAAAATAAACGAAGAAATAAAAGAAAAGAAACAAGCAGAAACTAGGTTGGGTGTGTTTATTCTACTTATGGAGCATTGTCTCCCTTATTAGCTGTTTGTTTGGACCAATCTGTACAAAGGCTACTTAGATACATAGCGAGCTTTTATGCTACAATACATTTGGAAGGTAACTGGCCGACACATGTGCCAACTGCATTTTTTTTTCTTTGCACACCACAGCTTGTAACTGGACACTGAAACTTAACTGAAACAAAGACAGCATAAGAAAAACACTTCCACTGCGGCTAAGACCAGAGTCAACAAACCGTAGATGTCAGTGTGGTCAAATTACAGGAGGCTTGATGATAAAAAAAAAAGGCAAACAAACAGAAAATCAATCTGAATGAAAGCCAGGGGAAAGATGTCAGAAAGCTATGGCTGGAGAAACCAGACTTTAGCGCAGATGATCATCAGAAATAAGGCAAGGCAAGTTTATTTATATAGCACAATTCAACAGCAAGGTGATTCAAAGTGCTTTACAGAAACATTAAAAAACAAAAACAAATAAAAAGCATGATTTAAAATGAAAAAAAAAAGAGGAACAGTAGATAAAATCAGTAGTTAGAATGTAAGTTTGGAAATTTAAGCTTAAAAGTAAAACAGTGCGGATTTGGTGCTTTATTCAAATGCAGCTGAGAACAGGTGAGTCTTCAACCTGGATTTAAATAAACTGAGTGTTTTAGCTGATCTGAGGCTTTCTGGGAGTTTGTTCCAGATATATGGAGCACAAAAGCTGAATGCAGCTTCTCCATGTCTGGTTCTGACTCTGGGAATTGATAAAAAACAGGATCCAGGATCTGGAAGTTTCATACTGGGTCAGGAGGTCACTGATGTATTTTGGTGCTAAACCATTCAGAGCTTTATAGACCAGCATCAGAACTTTAAAGTCTATCCTCTGATGGACAGGCAGCCAGTGTAAAGACCTCAGTGCTGGACTGATGTGGTCCACTTTTTTGGTCTTAGTGAGGACTCGAGCAGCAGAGTTCTGAATGAGCTGTAGATGTCTGACTGATTTTTTAGGTAGACCTGTAAAGATGCTGTTACAGTAGCCAAGCCTACTAAAGATGAATGCATGGACTAGTTTTTCCAGGTCCTGTTGAGACATCAGATCTTTTATCCTTGAAATATTCTTGAGGTGATAGTAAGCTGACTTTGTTATTGTCTTAATGTGTTTTTCTAAGTTTAGGTCTGCATCCATCACTACACCCAAACTTCTCACCTGGTTTGTGGTTTTTAGGTGTATAGATTGAAGTTCTCTGGTGACCTGTAATCGTTTTTCTTTGGCTCCAAAGACTATTACTTCAGTTTTGTTTTTATTTAGCTGGAGAAAATTGTGGCACAACCAGTGATTAATTTCCTCAATGCATTTACCAAGAGCCTGTACAGGGCCTCGGTCTCCTGGTGACATTGTGATATATATTTGTGTGTCATCTGCATAGCTATGATAGTTTATTTTGTTGTTCTTTATAATCTGTGCCAGTGGGAGCATGTAAATGTTAAACAGAGGGGGTCCCAAGATGGAACCTTGGGGAACTCCACATGTGATACTTGTCTGCTCAGATGTGAAGTTACCTATTGATACAAAGTATTTCCCGTTTTCTAAGTATGTTTTGAACCAGTTTAGTACAGTTCCTGAGAGACCTGCCCAGTTCTCCAGTCGTTTGAGTAATATGTTGTGGTCAACTGTATGAAAAGCTGCACTGAGATCCAGTAAAACTAAGACTGACATTGTTCCACTGTCTATATTCAGACATATGTCATTAAACACTTTGGTCAGAGCGGTTTCAGTGCTGTGGTTCAGTCTAAAACCTGACTGGAAGGCATCATAGCAGTTATTCTGTTTTAAGAAGTAATTGAGCTGTTGAGAAATGGCTTTTTCAATGATCTTACTTAAAAATGGGAGATTCGAGATTGGCCTGCAGTTGTTCATTTGTGTCTTGTCAAGATTGTCCTTTTTTAGTATAGGTTTAATTACAGCAATTTTTAGTGGTTCTGGAAACACACCTGACATTAAAGAAAAGCTGACGATATGTAACAGGTCTGACTCTAAAGTCTTTGAGACCTTTTTGAAAAAAAGATAAAACCACGTAGAAAGCCAGGGTATAAAAAAGACAGGCCTGACAATGCACAAAATTTCAAACTCTTTCTTATTCATCAGCGGTTAATGGGGATATGGCAAACACATGCTTATAGCCTACAGGCTGTTATGATGGCAAATTATGTCAAACACAATGATATGAGGGGACTCAGACAGGGTGTACGCAAAAGCACATATGCAATCATTTTGGAGTAGCACATGTGGGTGTAAGTGTAACAATCTGCTGTCACGACACATGTAAAGTGTATTAATGCATAACCATATATTTATATTCTGCTTTCATGAAAGGTTTTCTCTCTGAATTGTAATTGTGCAACAATATGAAAGGTCTTCTCCAGATTCACACATGTATGCAGCCCGTGAGATCTTTTTTGGATTAAACCTCCTTTACAGCCTCCATTATTTTTATTTGAAAAAGAAACTTCTTCCAATCCTTTGTTGCTCTACAATTTTAGAATGAGATGAATGAGCTTCCTGTTCTTCATTCAGAGTGTAATGCACCTTTTGCCTTACCTGGAGTTTGGAAGTTGATGCGCCTCACCTCCACGGGGTCTGTGGGGTGATGGGGTGTAATGTCTGCGTTGTTCAGCAGACATTTTGTGCGTGGCTCCGACTCTTTTCTTTTGTGGCTGGACAGTAAGTCAAACATAAAGAAGGAAGAGGGGAAGACGTACAAAAAAAGACAAAAGAAAAAGAAAAACTTTAACGCACACTTGATCCAGCACAAGAGATCCCATCCTCACTATCTACTCAGTAACTCTGACTGATTGGTAGCTCAGTCGGTCAGAAAAGCTAAGAGTGAAGCAAAATCACGGACTGTGAAGCTGGTAACATGTATTGCGTATGAACAAGTCTCCTTCACTCTCACTAATTAAGGCCATTTTGTGCTGAGACAAGCTATTTTGTCTTGAAAAATGCATTAAATCTAAGTAAGACTAAGCCTTACCTGTCGGGTTTGCTGTTTCCAGAGAAAGCAATAGGAGTCAAATAAATATATAAAGATGGTGAAAACACAACACACAAGGAGAAAGGGAGACGGGGAGGCAAGAAGAGAGATAAATCAATAGAGAGCAGTTTAAAATTCACAGGGGTCGCTGCTGGGCTCGCAAAAAAGCGAGATAAAGCTCATCAGCATTGGAAGAAGGTGTGTGCATGAGTGCAAGTGTGTGCACGTGTCAATGAGTTGGAATGAGTGCGTATTCAATGAAATGTGTAAGTAAGCGCATACATTCGAGAGCCCTGCATTTGCGTGTCTGTGGATGTGTGCGTGCATGCGTGTGTGTGTACGTGTGTGTGCGAAGGGTGCAGATACAGATAGGAAAGGGGAATGTCAGGGCCAAGGGCAGTCCTGGGAAACACTATTCACCATGGAGAGATGGGGGAGATGGGAGAGTGAGGTGGAGTGAAAGAGAAGAGAAAAAAGAGAGAGATTCAAGGAGAGATGTTACTCTCCCTCTAACCATTCAAGATGGAGGTAAACCAAGGTCAGATAGTCACGGATCATCTGACAGTAGCGAGCCCTGCTCATGCTTCTCACACCAGTCCTACCCCCTTCTAGATAATTCAGGGATCTTTCCTGGTATGTAGGGCAACCTCTTGCAACATTGTTCTGTTTGGATTTGCAGCCCCCGAGGCAAATATGTGCAGCTAACAGTAAAAAAGGGCAATATACTGACTGCATGTGCATCTTCCAAAGCTCGAAGCTACAGAGAGTTCACTTAGTCTTGACTCAGAGGAGCAGAGAGGTGTTGGGCTTTAAAGGCAAGTTTGATCTCCACTACAGTAAAAAAAAAAAAAAAGATCACCCAGTTTTTAATCTAGTAGTTTAGTCATTACTGACATTATTATTGGGTAACTTAGGCAACACTGGAAAAAGTGCTTGAACACTAGAATTCGCAGTTCTAATTTCACATCCAGACTCTGACAATATGTAGGAAAAACCTTTAGTTATGATACCGTAACATGATAGCTGCACTCCTCTATAATGCATATGGTTTTTATGTGGTAGAGATCATACTGGTTTCATGGTTTGTGTCTATTTAGAGGGAGGGCAGTGGCACGCTTACTAGACTCACTCCAGTCCTGTGATAGAACATTTCTATCCTGTCCCTTTCATGATGACAACAGCCCTGTCCACGTTCTATTAACCAACATCAACAACAAACGAAGCAACACATTTTGGATGAATGCTTTACCAAGGTCTACTTTTGGCACCACATCTTTATTTTATTGTTCCCTTGAATTTATCACCCTTCCTATACTCGCTGTGAATAAACACTTTTGACATCTACTGACTGACAAATTCTTTCTACTAGTCGAGCACCATCTCAAAGAATCTCCTCCTCTCTTCTTTCTCCAACCAGCTCACATCCCACGACCATCTTTTTTTTCCAAAAAAAAAGAAAGTTTCATATTTACATGCAACTGTGTTTTTGGGACTTTGAATATCATGCTGCCATGAAAACATAATAAGACCCTCGTTCAACATGCTGCCTAGCATGCAATCATTTAAGATAGCCCAATTCCCCAGTTTGACTACAAATAAGGGGTTTGGCATGAAATGACAAGAAAAACCAAACTCCAAACTTCACATCTATTTGAGGTTCTGACATCTTTACACACAAGTATCACCACAAACAGAAATTCCCAAGCCCACTCACTTTTTATACAGAAGAATGGCGATGACGATGCAGATAATGAAGACAACAGCCAGGACGGGGCCCAGCACCCATATGAGACCATCTCCAGCGTCTACTGGCAAAGGGTCCACGACCAGCTCAGGAGTCACCACCGTGTCGGTATATGGGCTTGCTGCAAACATTTTCTGAACAGAAACAATTTTTCGCAAAACTTAGTACAGTGCATAAAACCCAAAGATACAAATTGAACAAACTGAATTGAATACCACAAGAAGCATAAATGTGTTAGGTTTAGATAAATCAGCATTAAGAGATCCACTATTAACTGAAGAAAACCGCATAATTAAATCCACTCTGACAAAAATTCGACTGAACTGTCTTACCCCGCTAGTGGCATTGAGTTCAACCAGCAGGAAGAAGACATACTCCTGGCCAGGTTCGAGAGGCTTGTTCTCACAGTTACTGTGGCGATTTTCAGATCCTACTGTGAAGCTAGCGGGCAGTTGCCTGAAGCAGGCTATGATGTAGGGCTTCTTCTGGTCCAGCTGACGGCGTGAACGGCGCTTTGGATTCACCTCCCTCAACAGCTGATTGACGTAAAAAGGTTTTATTATACTTCTTTATGTGTGAGAGCGTGAGTGTATTTTTAAAATTTTGGCAGATCAAAGACTAAATATAGAGAACATTCAAGTCAGACCTAATGAGAGTTTCTGAGTGCAGAAAGTGTTTATAATGTTAATGTTTTTTAAATAAAAATTTAAACAAAACAAGAGCTATTATTTAAGCACAAAAATGACATCAATTCAATAAACTGGAAATAAGAAACTGTAATATGGCAGCAGTACAAATTTTCAAATACATAAGCAGTAGGTCTCTTGAGTAAGTAGCTGTTTTGTAGAAGGTCTTGAACTCTTCCTGAGATCAAAGAAAACAATCTGTAGGTGTAACTGCACACTTAAGATTCTAAAAGCTTCAACATTTCTGGCAATGCTCCATGCAACCATGCAACCCTTTCCCCTACATCAATCCTCTCTCATTCAGTTTAGACTGCAGACAGAGGCGGGCCCTAAGCAGAGGGAATGTGTGTAATCCCAAATCCAATAGGGATGGCTGCTGTTGATCTGGTGCTCAAGGTGACCCCGAGCTATGGTTATGAGTAGGAGAAGACTGTGTAATTCTCTTTTCTGCATGCTTTTGGGGGGGGGGCAAATTAGCATAGCTGAGATTTACTTATGTCTGTGTTCTGTGTGCCTTGCCTACATGGGTACATGATGTGCACAATGTGGACAGAACATGAAAACTACTGTTTATGTATAATGATGCAATTTTTGCAATTTTGCCTCTGTATGTCATCACAGTTTATTTAAAATTAGGTAGTCAAGAAGTAACTGAAATGACTTTCAGCTTTAACAGTGAGAAGCCACCAAATCCAAGTTTAACACTTGGAATCGACTGCAGATCTCGTATTTGCTTAATTTTTCTTGGAATAAGAATGTAAAAATCTGACCAGCCCATTAAACTGCTTGTCAGTCCATTGTCCATTTACATTTGAGCCTCTAAAATGAGGGAAAATGTGTATATTTGTAAACAGACACACTGTTGTTAAATCCCTTCAATTATAGCTGAAAGTCTCCAGTTTAATCATATGTTGGCTGGTTGTACAATCCACTGTGGTGGTGTACAGAGCCAAAATGACAAACAAACAAACAAACAAAAAAACAGCTTGAAAGCTTATTGTGTGCGCTACCTCTTCTATGTCTATCTCATCAGGGTTTTTCAAGTCTTTAACAGTTCCTGGGGTCTTCTTAAGCGGCACCACTACTACATAGAAGTTCCTGTGAACACAGCATGAAAGCACAATAAAGATTTGATTTTAATAAACAATCCTTTAAGATTGTAACAGAATTTACATTAAAAATAGCCTCACACTCAACACTAAATTGATGTGACAATTCGGTTCTCTCAAAGGGCCTAGCAATTACCAGCAGTCCACGTCACATACTCATTACCTAGTGATCTCAACAGATGTCACGTCAGATTTTAAGTATGTCAACATTTAAACTTTTTCAATTAATTCAATTAAATTTTATTTATACAGTGCCAAATCACAACAACAGTTGTGTTGTGTTGTGTCAAGGCGCTTCATATTGTAAGGTAGACCATAGAATAATGCGTAAAGAGAAAAACCCAACAATCATATGGCCCCCTACGAGCAAGCACTTTGGCGACAGTGGGAAGGAAAAACTCCCTTTTAGCAGGAAGAAACCGCCGGCAGAACCAGGCTCAGGAAGGGGCAGGGCCATCTGCTGCAACCGGTTGGGGAGAGAGAAGGAAGACAGCAACCCCTAACCCTTCAAGACAATTCAGACAGAGCTCGCAGATGCTTTTAGCCCTCAAAACTCACTTGACATCCTTGCTGTCAAATGATGGAAAGGACATGGTGAGCGCGGTATCCGAGTTACTGTAGATGTCCAACTTGGGTTTCCTGATCAGCATGAGCGGCGCTGTCCTGGCTATTACCCGATGTCTTTGCCCACCATTTATGCTTTCTTGACAGATCACTGTGAACTCATAGGTGGTGTTAGGTCTTAGTCCAGTGACGAACACCTTCAGCTGCCTGGCATCCACATCCATCTTCTGGCGGTTATACTCAATCTAGGATTAGAGTGATAGTCAATCAGCAAATTGGTGAGGGAATAGAGAGTAAAAGAGGAAGATTGTTTAGTGGTAACTCATGTCACTGAAATATGACAAACTGAATGACAGTTTTCAATTGAATTCAACTTCAAGGATGCTAAATTGCACAGTGGGAATGCTTTACAACATTATACTCACAGTGCATTTATACGGGGACCTGCTTTCAGAAAACTTCCAAGCAATGACCACTGTGGACTTGGTGGCCCACTTTACAGTGAAGTTCTTTGGAACATCTGTTGAGTGCACAAACGCAAGAAGAAGAAAAAAAGAAAGAGGGTGTATCATAAGTGAATGGACCATCTTTACATCAGAAAGAAAGGGAAACAAATAAAGAAACCTGATTTTTCTTTTTTGCTTTTTTTAAAAAAAAAAAGAAAAAATAAAGCTGTTCTTCCCCTGCAACGCTCCTCTGGGTAGGAAAGTGAGTGTAACAGTGAGCTGTGATTGGCTGTGAGAAGGGCAACGCGATTGGTTAGGACACACAGCACGTAAGACTCATGGACAACAAACCCATGGAGCACAAGGGTGTACCTACTGGCTAGCCATCGTGGGTAGTGCCAACCCAGCTCATCATTATCTTTGAACCACGAGCATTTGATGATTAACAACTGACCCATGCGGTCCCAATGCCAACTGATCCTACACCTCTACTAAGTCTGGGTTGGCACTGCCAACGTGATGCCGTGTAGGCAAAGAGACAAACCCAAAACATAGCATGCTAACAGTCCTTAGCGGTGCATCTGTGGGATGCCATGCCACAAGCTGTCCTGTCAAAGGACAGGGGGACGGAGAATGAGGTTCTGGGAGAGGAAGGGAGTTAGGAAGGGCAGAATATCTTAAACCAAAAATAAAATAAAGAACCAAAATGAGAGTTTTGCAATTTTAGAGGTCCACACTTACTCTCAAAGTGACTAGATCTGATTGAGATCCTACCTTGTTTGTAAACTGGGGATGTGAGATGACATTAGCTGAGTGACTGTGCTTGGCAACAGGCTGCAAGAATGACTGAGAAGAGTGTCTGACCAAATTGCACTTACCTTGAAATTCTAGGCTTCTTTCCTCTTTCTCAAAATGACTGACTATAACTTACTGACTTATCTTTTACCTGATTTGGGTTATTGAAGTAAGTATCCCACGGCAAGCAATTTAAATATCAATGTTTCCTCTTTCTTGAGGAGAGGTGGAGGTGGTTGAAGGAGGGGGTGGGCAGTTTTTGTGTTGCTGCAGATTAATTTTAGCCAATTTCCAACCCCCCGCCAACTGGGTTGGATAACATAGACAAACAGGCAAGCCCTACCTGCTGGATCAAAGGCCACGGTCCGATACTGGATAGGTGGGCTGTAGGGCCCTGGACCTACACTGGTGTGTGCACGTATTTTCACGTCATATGCCGAGTTCGGTTTGAGGCTGTTGAGCACATAGCTGAAGAGGCTGGGGGGTAAGTGGAGTTCCCGTGGAGCTTCTCTGGTGCCAGCTTCTTTATAGGCCAAAGTGTACTCTGTGATTACCCCATTCCTCTCTGCCAGGACTGGTGGAGACCAGGACAGCTGCACTGAGCAGCAAGTCACATTGGAGCCCTCGTTAATTTGTGGGTATCCCCCTGGCGTATTCTCAGGCACATTGACTTCTACCACAGCCTCTTCCCCAAAGCCACCCCTGCTCTTGGCAGAGATCTTAAAGAGATAAATTGCCCCCCGGTGAATGTTGCCCACAGAGTACTGCCGCTCTTGGGGAGCAAATTCCAGTGTGGCCAAAGGAGAGACATCTTTTCTGCCAAACTGGAGCCGGTAACCCTGCAGGTCCATGCCATTGGTTAGATCTGGAGGATCCCAGCGAGCCACGGCTGATGTCTCTGAGTCCTGAGCCACTGACAGATAGGGCGGACCAGGTACTGCAGAAACAAAGAAATGAAAATGTCTTTGCATTGCAGTTTTATTAGAATGCACGTTTTTAAATAAGAGACACGAAAATGGTACATATGGGTGAGCATTGAAAGTCATTCATGACATATAACCATCGTTTATGTTCTATTTTTCCTTCCGCTTTAGGAGTTATGGTTTGTGTTATAGAAAGTGCACTGAGTTTTTGTACTGTGTAGCAAAATCATCAACACTGTTACTATTGATACAAATAGTATACGACAGAAGCATTTACAAAGGATGGTAAAAACATAGCTGGATCAGATACCGCACATAAAACGATGTCTATGTGTCCAAGGTAAAGATCAAGATGAACAAAACTCGGGGAAATTGTTTGAACTTACAGTCTGTTAGGGAAAATATTCTAAAACACTTCTTCAGTAAAGACTCAGAGAAGAGAAACACACAGAGTTCTTGCTAGCAAGGGCAGTCTCAGAGACTCGCGCTGAGCTTTGCCCTGGTCTTTATTTATACTTCAGGTGTGTGTGTGTGTGTGTGTGTGTGTGTGTGTGTGTGTGTGTGTGTGTGTGTGTCCTGCTGATCAAAGGGTCATAAAAGCACAAAAGGTACATCCTTGGTCAGGAAAGGGTAGTCTCCCCCTCACCCTAAATAACATGGTGAGGAAGTCCAGCAGTTCATCTATATGTAAAGAAGCACTTAAACTAAAACAGACATAGCTACGTTAATCCTGCCGTAAAACAATAAGAGAAGGTATGACCTCTCTCGTGCTCCCAGGATGTGGGTGTGCATTCTAGTGTGGAATACACACCAAGCCTTTGCAGCCTGTTAGAGATCACACACAATTAATTATATGCCTCTAAGTATACATGGTTGAATATTTCCTAATACAAATAACTACATGGAGTATTCTACCATATGCAAACTTATATCACTAAAAGATTATACTGACTACTAAATACAATTTCCTATTGACACAGTCAATAAGCTAACAAAGTGAGTCAGAAGATCCCCAAAATGCTTTAATTCCTAAGTGATCGCTGTACCCATTACCATTTCATGATACATAGAAGCTGAAGCCAAAAATCATTGCATTACAGCAAAGCACCACTAAAACTTTAAGCGAAGAACAGCGCCTTGTTTGTCTCTTGTTGTAAAATGGATGATCTACTCTTGGGGTCCAGACACTATTCTTCAGAGTGGCCCAGTTTTGCTGCTGTTATGGATGACACACGTCTCATCCTAACCCTCCTTTTAAGGTCCCATCACCGAGACAGCAGCAGCAGCAGTTATGTGAAGCCTTTAGTTTTCAAGCTGCTGTCAAAGCTTTGTGAGAGATGAGCGTGGCTGATTTGCACTTGAGCCCCATGTAAATAGATTCTAGCTTCCTCGCTCATCTTCTGATCTATGTACTTCCCTCCTTTTTCTGAGAAACAACAAATTTTCTCAGAAAAGGTGGGGACGGGACAAACAACTGGCAAATGTTATAAGTATTATATTATGAATTATATTATGAATTTAAATCCAAATGCATTACTTTAGTATTAATAAAGAAAACAAAGGAGGTAATGAGACACGTCAGCTATGAAATTAATTACATGTATCTACAGTAGTCAGACAGAATGATGAGTGACAGTCTCCTGCATACTGAAGATTCACAAAGCTTGTCGATTTGTTTGGCAAAGTTGGCCTGCGGAACTGTTTGATCCTGCATAAATTTATTAACAACTAAATAAACTGAATGCAAATTATTAACTGTGGTTGCAGGTGTTATGTACTTTTTATCATTATCTTATGCAGACATAATTATGCCTTCATTTGCTTTCTTTGGCTAACGCTTGTTGATGCTAATGCTAGATGAATTCAAGCTGAATTCATCCCCGCACCCACCCCTTAATCATTGCATCCTGTATCTTTGTGCTTGATGGACACTCTGAATTTTCTTTGCTGATGTGTGTCAGCCTATTGGCCCTGGTTTCCAGCCAGCTTCATCTCCTATATCGCCATTCCAGCTGCACATAGAGCTATTTGGCTTGTTGCCCAGTGTGAACTTAAAGTAATTTGGAGAAGCCAACATTAGTCTGAGGCAACAGTACTGCCTCTCAGTGGAACAGTATCATCGTGCAAATGTGTCCGTGTATACTGTATGTGTCTACATATAGTTTATTGTGATAAGATGTAAGTTTTGTGCACACAGTAAACACACAGACACACACACACAGAGCCTGGAAAGAGAAGAAAGAGAGAGCAAGAGGGACAGAGAGAGAGAGAAATCCACTCCACATACTCTCCTTCCTCTGCGCTTATTATTCATTTCTGTTTGCCAATGATTTTCTTTCTGAAGACTGTTGCTAGAGGAAGATGGAGGTGAGTGGGTAGATGGCGGCTAGTCAGCTGAGCATTTGCCGGTAATGGAAAGGTGGGGGCAGCGAGTGTTGGGTGAGACAAATGCTTCTAATACTCCCTGGCTACATATTATAGCTCAGCTTTGTGTCATTTGGAAACCCACTCTCCCTTCATGATCACTGCTAATCAAGAAAATAGAATCAGGGAGAATGATCCTGCAAAGGCGCAGCACGTGTCTTTGATTCTCTGTTTTTGTGCTTCGCTTCGAAATTCAACAGGCTGCCATATGTATCCATTACAGCCTGTGTACCCCCAAAACGGTTTTATTATTTGTACATTTTAAACTGGGGCCTAGTGCACACTGGGGAGAGGGATCACGGGTACTGAGCCAGCAGATTGGTGTAGAGAGGGGGAGGAGGGGTGGGGGGACTGCTCATGGTGTGGGCTGAGGGTGTGTGTGTGTGTGAGGTGCTACAAGGAGATGATAAAGTCAACAAGGCCATAGTGAGGGGTTGAAAAATGAGTGAATGAGAGATGATGAAGGTGACTGGGGACAAGGTGCAATCAGCTGCAAAGAGGGCCCAACAGGGATATGAGGAGGCAGAAACGTGTGTGTGTGTGTGTGTGTGTGTGTGTGTGTGTGTGTGTGTGTGTGTGTGTGGGGGTGTACATGAGCGATTCTGGGCTTCCAGGACACTTTGATTGTCCCTCTCCACCTCTCCTCTGTGTCACCCTCCTTTTACCCACAGTCCCTTTTTTCTTCCCAATTTCTTTACTTTACTTCTCCCTTCGCACGATGTCCAATTCCCACTCTCATTTCCTAACTTCCTCCTCTTTCCACTCTTTGACCATTTCAGGGTCGAGCCTGATTCAGTCCCTCCTTGTGGGCCTCCCTGCACATTTCCCATTAGGCCACCATATTAACAGAATACTGTTGATACTTACTCAGTCTGACTCAGAAGGGGACGATCAGGTTTCCTTCTCATTTCCTACCTCTCTTGTGCACGTCAGTCACGCATACGCAACTTTGCAAATGCTGAAAGGTCGTGTAAAATCTGTCTCTCTGATCTTTATTTTCCCTTTGCTTCTTTGAATCCTATCTGCCTATATTTCAGGGATTCATGGAGAGAAGTAATTTGTAGGGTGGGAAATGTAATGGAGAAAGAAAAGCAATAAATTTCACTTGGCCCATTCGGAGCGAAAGAGCCATTAAAGAAGCAAGGAGAAAAAGAGCTCAGCAACCTTTTGCATGATGCATCAAGTATTGTGAGGTTGGCCTAAGGGAGTTTTAACCAGTTAAGATGTTACAAGTGGAGGATACCCAGCAATCTTTAAAGCTGTAAATAACAGTGGTGTGGCTGATTTGATCTGAATCAATATCCATCCATACTTGCAATGCAATTTATAAATAATTAAAATCAAACCTAATATGATTTAATCCATCCATTTGTGTGGATCACACCAACGGGCCTTATGTTTGGTACCTGGTGATGCAAAATAACAGTTTTCCCCCTTGCTCTATAGCCTCTTGGGATCCCAAGCTGATATTTTGAGCAACTTGGCGCACAGCCTACCAATAAACAACTGTGCCTTTGTAGCATTATGTTTTGACTTTGTTCGACTTATAATGAAGTCTGGACTATTTTTTTCCCATTAGCATGTGAGCAAGAACGAAAGATTTAAAGGACGCAGACATTGATTGTTGGCCATGGTTCAGTGTATTCCTCAAAGGAAGAGTTTTAAAAATATGACTCATGAAAAGCCACTTTTCAAACCTAGCTTTCACTCAGCAAACAAAGAGAGATTCAGCCACAGAATAAATGTTGTTCATCTATGACTCACAAATAGGTATGGAACTCCAGTTTTATCCAAGTCAGACAATATCCTGCAAAAGATCTTTTCAGATCCTTTTTTGATACACCAAACTACCAGAGAGGCTGGTTGGAAAGTCTGGAAGATAAAAAGCCTTGGCCATTGATGTTACAATTTTTAGTGGCAAGAAAAAAAACATGCCATCGTTGTCATGACGCACTGTATCGAAGCCTTATTGTTACATAAAAAAAGACCAAGGCTATGACATCTTCTGTAGGCAACTGCTCTCCTCAAGTGCATGCTTTAGAAAAAAAAAAAGATTTTAGAAGAAATTGCACAAGTTACATGTTTTTTAAAAAATATACATTTTTAGAGGACGTACAATGTGGGAGAATGTTAAATTGATTTACAATACGCATTTGAAGTGTGCCAATTTATGAGTGAGTTCACACAAGTGCAAACCACACGAAGGAGTGGTTGTCTCAGCAAAGAACATCTGTTTTTCATGGTGAAGAAGAAGAAAACATCTTATATTTGGGTTTATAAGTTCCTACAAGTTGGGATCCATTTTTAGTGTGGTTTTTGATGAAAAGTTTCTATGAAAGTTTGTGTTTTGTTTAGTTTTGTAGTTGAAGAACGTACAATGTTACAGTTACAGTGTTGTGCAAAAGTCTCGATACTACAAATTTCTTAATATTTAAAAAAAAAAAAGGCAAATCAGTGATGAAGATATAGTATATGAGGCAAAAATAGAATTCTAAAGATGCTAAAAAAAAAGTCAGTTGCTTTTCTGCGTTCATAATTCCACCACTGGTACCATGACAGAGCCTCCGCCATGTTTTACAGATGCCTGTAGACGCTCATTGTTGTAGCTCTGGCATGACCTCCTTCATTACATATTGATGTCGATTTGAACCAAGTTGCTCAGCTGTCTGTGTAAACACAACACTGTTTCATCCCTTGAGATAGGTGTCTGCTTTATGCTTCAATGATTTATAGGTCAGTGTAAAGTGTCTTACCGAACAACAACAAAAAAATCTTCTAGAAAATGGTCAGGTAATGAGTGAAATGAGTGAAAAAGCAGACCTTAGGAAAGCCTGAGGAAGTATTGCTTAAAAACACTTTAAAAATGAAAAGGAAGTCTGGGTACATGGAAACAAAATCTCAAAAGCCTAAAGCAGGGCTTCTTGATTAGTCCACTAATACCATAATATAATCATATGAGACCGTCCTCTGTAATTGAATGTACAGACACTATGAACTGTGTATAATCTGATGATTCTGTCACCTGTTCTCATGTTGTCTGAATTTTTTGCAATTCAAAGATGTAACTATTCAATTAGTTCATTAGTTCAACTTGCTCTGGAGGAAAAAACAACAAAAGAAAATTGCCTTGAAAATTGCCAATGTCCCAATCATCCTAACGGTGCTTGGGACAAGAAGGACATCTGCTTTACCTCCAAGAAAGCCTGTTTTTACTTCTTTCCCCCCACACCTCCATCTCTCACCTCTTACCCTATTCTATTTATCTTGGCCCCTGGCATAAACTAGTTCTTTAATTCAATCATAATAAAAAGGAGAAGCTTTCCCTTCGAGGGACAAACAGAATTGCTGTGGAATGGCGCATCAGTCAGCCAGTCCTGACAGAAGGATGGAGAGTGACAGCACTCGCTCAGGCCCCTTTGGCAGTGCCATGCTCCCTGACACCTGTAACACACACTTGTCACGAGATGGGACATTTGTGTGTACACACGTTAGGTTGTGAAAATGTGTTGTCTGTACAGGAGCGTATGACATACCACTCTACAGGTCTGCACATATCGTTACAGGCGAAAGAATCAAATCCTGATAAAGATTCAGCAAAGCAGAAATACTGCGTTTTTAAAATATCTATGTGAAGAACTTCTGAAATAGAAGATAGATGGGTGGATGGATTTAAAGTTATTTGCTTTTGGGGGGAATGGAAGGGAATGAGAGCATGGAGTTAAAGACACCAGCTTTATCAAGATATAAGCATTTTTTTGAACATTACTCGACCATTACACCACCTTGTCCTTTGTCTTTTTGAGTCTTCTGACTGTTTTGTAAGGTAATTCTGAATGTAACCCCAAGATCAGAATTTAGTGCCTGCACTTTTTTTTTTTTTTACATCCTGCATGCCAGCCTAACTGCTCTTCCTTCATTCTGCCTTCTGTTGTTACTGATTGGACAGTGCCCCAATCCTGTGCTCTCATCAAGCTGCAGCAGTAATTCTTCCACCTGCTTCAAAAGTACAGCCAATCTGTTCTTCCAGCCAGCCCTGATTTAGGGTTTTTTTTGTGTCCCTGTATATATCCAGTGTTTTTGTTACTTGTAGCTTAGAACACATTTTGAGCATTGAATGTATTCAACAAGCTTAGTTTTCTGCATGTCAGCTAGTCTAGTGGTTGCTAGAGGCTCTGTAACCTACTTCATTGTTGTTTGCAGCCACTGTCTATTTCCTGGAGACCAGACCAGGTAGTAAAGTCCCATATCACACACTAACCCAAAATTCAGGAAGTATTTTAGTTTAGTAGTGCTACTGCTTTGTTGTAATTTTGGTTTGGTTAGACAGTGAATGTAGGTAATGACGGGTTTCTTTCTTTCTTTACTTTAAAAAAACAAAAACAAAAACACAGAAACAACAAATGAACATATATTAAATCCTTGCATCCCAATCCCTCACTATTTTAAAATAAAAATAGTGTCAAAAAAAAGTATGTGCTGTATGTATACAGTTGTGCACATATTGGCACTTTGAGGCCTTCTCAAGCACATGCATATACAATCTTAGTTTAATGGCCTAAAACCACTCACAGAAAGCTTTCAAACTCATAGCAAGTCAACCTGAAGTTCACAGTGAATATAAAAAGTCTTCACACCATTGTCAAAATGCTAGTTTACTTTATGATGTAAAAAAAAATTAGACCAGGCAAAATAATTTTTGAACTTTTTCAACCTCTAACATGACCTACAGACCCTGCAACTTAACTGCAAAAGGATTGAAATAAAAAACTTACAATAACCTTCTGCATAAATATGCACTCTCAAACTAACACTTTGTTGAAGCACCTTTTGACGTTGTAACATAATTCATTCTTATGGTGTTGGTGCCTATAAGCGCAGTGCATCGTGACTTTTTAATATTTGTCGAGTCTTCCTTGCAAAAGTGCTCCAAATCTGTCCAATTGCATCATCTGCTTTCTTCAGGTCACCTCACAATATTTCATTTGGATTCAGTTCTGGGCTCTGGCTTGGCTTGGCCATTTCAAAACTTTAATCTTCTTCTAATCAAGCCATTCTTTTTTTGCCAAAACACAATGGTGTTTGAAACTGCTCAGAATTCCCTCCACCTTAACTAAGGCTCTAGCTCAACCTGAAGAAAACGCCCCCAAAGCATGATGCTGCCACCACCATGCTTCACCGCGGGTATGCCATTGTTTTGGTGGTATGCATTGCTTTGGTTGTAATAAAAAGCTTTGGAATTTTACCCTTGGTTTCATCAGACCAGAAACATTTCTCCACATCCTTTTGGGAGACGTGATAGATGTTGCTGCAAAATTTTGCTAATTTTCTTTGTAAGAAAATCCAGCTCCCTGACTTCTTGTTTTTTCATCAACTTTGTTCAGGTCTAGTTATTGTCACTTTTACATCATTTCATTTGTTATTTATTGTCCTCACTGTTTTCTTGCTGTTTGTTTTGGTATACATTGGCTTGGAAACGAACTGACTGAATGTACCTACAATTAAACTAAACCCAAAATATAAGCTTGTTGATATGGAACTACATTATTTTTATTTATTTATTTTTATTTTACCCCCTAACAGATCTGGTTTTGAACCACATTGTTCAGGTTATAGGTCACATTTTAGGTAGAACATTTCTAAATAATTTATATATATATTTTTCTATTTTTGCATTACAAAAATGTGGCATTTTAGCAGGGGTATGCAAGCTTTTTACATCCTCTGCAGATCATGCTCATTCTAAACAAACTACCAGCTTTTAGGCAGGCATAGAGAGTCTAGACAAACTGGTATGCTCAGCGGTGAAAAAAAAAAAGGAGAAATGTGAAGAAAACAATGCTTTGTAGAGTGCAGGCTCTAATATACAGCTAAAACCAAAGAGCAACATGTGTTTTCATGCTCTCCTAATCTGTCTTAGGGAAAAAAAAAACCTCACACCATGCCCTGGTCTCTAAAAGATCCGTGGCCTTGATCTCTAAAAATCTGTGGCTAGCCTTCAGGACATGACTCAAATGATAAACGCAGCACTGATAAAAGCAAACACTGCCTTAGACTTAGATGTGCCCTGAATAACAGCCCTGAGTAGCTGAACACACTGTTAATATCATAGCCTATGGCGCTGTCGATAAAGAGTCCTAATTACACTTAGTTAACTGTCAGAAATTCTTGAAATTATTCATTATTGCATTTGTTCGTGTCTACTAAACAGATCCGAATCAGTTAATCACACTATATTGTGGCTCTCTGCGAGGGTTCTTTGAGTATTGTTAAATAAATGCAAACAAGCAATCATAGCACAATCATAGCGGAGACAGCTGGATGGGAGTGAACAGGAGTCCCTGAGCGAAAAACCCTTCAGTCAGAGGCAGAAAAACAAGTTAGCTTTACTGCTGCACGAACAAAGGTTCTATGACAACAAACAAATCAATTATTTATCATTGTACTAACCTGCGCCTTTGGTCACCACCAGTTTGGGTTTGCTCCGAGCACCATCCCCCTTGGTGGTGTATGCTGCCACTGTGATGGAGTAAGTGGTTTCTGGCTTGAGTCCTCCAATGACCATTTCCTATGGGACACATGGAAGAAGCAGAGACAGGAAAATGTCAAAATACGTGTTGAATTTTTCATGATTTGACCCCACTTCGTGCAGCTCAAACTGCCTTATGCAGAATGTTAATCTAAGCCAAGTGTCTCCTGCTCCTCTTTATTAATTTTCACGAGGCATGCATTAAATGTAATGTTTCCCCCTGTGTAATGGAAGACATTTCCATTACATAAATTATTAGATCTGCCAAGGTGGAGGAGTGACATTATGCATGTAAATGGAAAGTAGTTCCACTTAGTCCTTTAGCAATATTCCAATCAACAACTTAACTTTGATAAATGCATGCTGAATACATCCTGGCCATTCCCTGGCAGTTTTTTACCTCAGCCATTAAGTTTCCTTGAGTCCTCTTCAAAGAGAGGCTTCCGATCAATTCTAATGAATCTTTCAAGAGAGAAGGTTTGAACGAATGCAGAATTAGGTTTTTAACAGGCACTAGTTTGGCAGAAGGATGGGAGAAATCAATAAAGGTAAATGAGCTATAAGTAGTGTGTTGCACTTGACATGGTACTCGTGTAATGTAGATGGACTCTGGTTCAAAGGTAGAGAACATTCTGTGCAAAGTAAAAAATATGAATGATCACAATGTGGGTCGTACAGAGATATTCTTTAAACTACCATCTCAATATACAAAACTCAAGGAAGCACAGTACTTCTAAAGCACCACATTAAAAAGAATATATATCTATGGAGCACAGATCACACAAACACAAAACAGAAGGGGGAAAAATCATTCAAACACCACCAGAGCACAAGACACAACACACTGTCAGCACACAGTATGATACGAATAGCGTTAGCATTCCAGGCACAGTGGTCAGTGGGTATTGCATCAGCCATCAAGTGTACAAACTAAATGATGACAGACGTAAGCCCCCTTTTTCTTGGTTATGCACAGATATAGTGTTTAGACCGAGTCACCAGAGAGCTAAGCCCCTGAGCCAAACTGTTGCCCAGACTTAATGAACAAGGATCGGATGGGCTGTGTAACCTGTGAATCTAACCGGGCTGATGCAATACCCTCTGTTTACACTCTTTCAGGCACACAAAGCACCCAGGTGAAGCTTCGTACTCACATATTCAGCTGTATCGTCTGTTTCCCACTAACCCCCCCCCCGCCAAAGAGCGCAGGAGAGAGAGCAATATTTTTTTCAAAGAAAGAGAAAAAAAAGAAAGGGAAGAAATAGGATTGTGAGAGACGGGGGCATAAGAGGTTTGGGAGCAGAGGATGGGTATCAGAAATAGGTCACTGGTTTTAGGAGGTCAAGAGAGAAAGAAACTGTTTGAAGTTTATGTTGTGAGGAGAGCTGTACAGGTCTGCTAGTTTAATTACGTTACTGTTCAGCTGACAAAAAGGCACAATAGTGTTATATATTGATAACTACAAGCAGCAATGGCATGAAAATGTAGCATTACATGGATTAATGATGATACAAACTAAGATAAATAGATATAAAAAAAAGAGGTTTTTGCCTGTGCGTGTGGTGCTTAGCCTGAATGCACTAAACTTTTTTTGTGTTTTGTTTTCCCAATTGTTCAAAATCTCCATTTGAAACGCCGGTACTACACACAGTCATCACTAGAACTGTGTTGACAGAAAAAAAAACCCCAACAAAGACAAACAAACCCCCAAAAAGCATCGTTTCCAGTTCTGCCAGTCAAAGTCTAAATTGTGGTGAAATAGTTCCGTGCCCATTTTCTCCAAGTCTTTGCACTGGATACAAGCACACATAAATATTTCATTGCATATGTTGCCATGAAGCAGGGGTCTTGACATTCCTAATAAAAGCCATTGAGGTAGAAGAAGGAGGACAAGATGAGTGAAGCTTTGATTATAGTTCTTATTGTGTGTCGACGGGCTGAGGGAGAAAGAAATGAAATGAAATCTACAAGGCAAGAGCCCTATCGCTCCCCATACTCCTGCTGCAACAGCGTGGATTAACTAGACAATTCGCGATTTGCATGAGAAGAAAAAAAAAGCCAATAGCTTACACATATGTTTTCAATTTTTAATGCGATTGGTGCACGATAAACGCATGCTGTGTGGCGGGATTTGCATTTTTCTGACAGCTAATTTGTAGAAGGAAAACTACGAGATGGTCATACCTGGGCATCAGCCAGCATGACATCCTTGATGAGAGGCAGGCCTCGAGACTCGCCATTTTCCACACGCACGTAATGAACCTGGTAGCCACGGATCTGTCCGTGCTGCTTGCCTGGCGTAAGAGAACGCCACATCACCTTAATTGCTGTGGAGTTGATAACCTCCACCTCCACCCGTCTTGGAGGAGCCCCAGGAACTACAAGAAATTAAAGAAATAATCAAATCCTCGCATGAGGCCATCACACACCTGTGAGTCTGATTCACCGCCCTGCATCGTAAAAGTGCCTCACATCATGTCGTGACATAAATAACTCCCTGAATCCAAATTCATGTACGCACAGAGAAAACTATTGACAGCTAGCAAGAATGATGGACAAAAACATTTAGAAACAACAAACACACTCCAGTGTCAGTCAAATTCAACACGCACACATGCACACGCATTCATCACTTCCCCGTGTCTCTTCCACCTTTTCAGTACGTCTCTGTCTGTGGTAAACCTCGTCTGTCAGTCATAATGACAGACTTTTATGGCAGGCCTTGCGTTCGGGCCTTTCAGTTTGCCACGGACCGTCCCTTTGTGAGATGGATGTTCTGTTGATAAAATTCTTCCACTCAACCTGCTTCCATTTGCTCCTTTACAAAACACTTTGACTCCCTGTTTTTGCCTCTAAATCACAACCCCATCATCTTGCCCGTCATCATGGTAAAATTGTGTTCATTAACAAGGCGCATTCTACTGTTCAGCCCTGGATCTCATTTCCTTAAAGATACTTATTATCATAATGACAGGCTTTCGATAGATACTGTCACTGTGTTGTGACTCTTTATTTGTGGAAATGCTTGAATAGATAAGGCCTTGTACCCATATGCATAAATGCATATGGCCCTCAATTGAGCAATAGGACAGTAGTTGTTTATGTTGCAATAGCAAAAATGCTTGATTTCCCGCGTGTATATTTCATTTTGAGTCTTTCCATTTGCACAGTTTATAAAGCAGTATGCTGCTATAACATTATTGGTATGCATTTGATACCATGTGATCATAGTTTCTTTTATGCATGCATGTGCAGCACATTTCCATCATATAGGACATATGCACAAAATGTTTAAACAGACCTTATTAACACATTTACATGAATATACATATTAGGCCCCTAGCTTAATTCTGACAATTAAGGACACTGGAATGTACTTAATACGTATTTGGCTCACTACCGACTTTGTGGCTTTAAATATATCATGTCTCCCTGCTGGTAATGCAATTTCTGCATACGTGTCCACTTTGTGTTTTGGAGAAGCAAAGTGTGAAATGGAAACCGCGCACTGGTGTGTCTATTACACATTTTGCTGTAATACTGGGTTGCACATACACATACAACAGAAAAACAATGTTTACCGGTGGTATACTCACCACTAAACTAAAGTGCTATTGAGCCATAATAAAAAGTCAATACAAGAGCTTCTGCACAGGCTAGGTTCACCTACCATCTTCGTCGGTCCGACAGACGAGGGGCTCACTCTCGGGGCCAGGTCCAATCACAGTGGAGGCAGACACCGTGACACGGTACTGGGTCCACTTCTCTAATCGCTGAAGCAACACCTGCTCCTCAGTGGCAGGCACCATGGGCTCCTCCAGCGGTTCCTCGTTGTCACCGGCCCCTTCTGACTGGCCCACCACCTGGTAGCGCACCCTATACCCCACCAGGGCACCATTCTGACTCTCCAAAGGTGGGGGGCGCCAACTTACCAACAGGGTGGTAGAGCTGGTGCTGCTGCACTTAACTTCTTGAGGGGGAGCTGAGGGCTCTGGTGAAGTGGAGAGGACAGGAAGGAAGGAGGAGGGGTGGGTTGGGAGGAAGGAGGAGGACGAGGAGGTTGGGGAAGGAGGGAGGAGGGGTGAAAAACAAAAAAATAAAAAAGATGGGAGAGATAAAGAAAATGAAAAAAGAAAGGGAAATTCAAAACTTAAATAAAAAACAAGAAGAATCCAAAGAAAATTGTAAAACAAAGACAGATGCAAAACAAATTTCAAATAAAAAATAAAACTCAAGCAAATGTCAACTTAAAATGCAATAAATGGATAAATGGCACAAGCAAGTGTAATAATGAATCCAGATAGCTATTGTTTTGGGATATGAGCACTGGATATGCATATACTATGTTGTGTCAGTGTAGAGCTGGGATGTCAAACTCATTTTACACAGTGGGCCATATACAGCCCACTTTGATCTCACTCAGCTTTCTGTCAGCATAAAGAAGTTTAACTACACATTTAGAAAAAGAATAAGAAAGGTAATTTCAACAGTATTTCTTAGCTTTATACATAAAGACAGCAGCAATTCATAAAGAAACACTGCAGCAATAAGTGACATGTGTCAGCTTGATTTAAACTGTAAGAAATAAAAGTACACAAAAAGTTCAAAAAAAAATTTTTTTTAACTGTAGAACCATTGTTAAAAAAAAAAAAAAAAAACCCAGAAATTCTATAGTAGATCATAGAAAAATGAATTTTTGTGTCATTTAATCGTTACTTTGGTGAAGTGTAAATAACCAATGGAGAGGTCCAAGCTGTTAATTTGCAAATGTTATGCCCTCCTTCTTGTTCTGGTCCCCGGGCCTTATGTTGAACACCCCTGTTGTAGTGTTTTATTGCAAACGAGGCACTTTAGTCAGACAACTGAGGAGAGTACCGCGGATCGCCCCGTGTGTGGGGATGCACGGCGTCAACGCGTTAACGAGCTACCATGCTAACGCGTTGATGCCATGCAGCCCCACACACGGGGCGATCCGCGGTAACTCGTTGACGGAGATTTGCTGCGTTAATGTAGTTATGGCGTTAATGAGATTAACGCCTACAGCACTAATACATATATTGCAATAGATATTCAAGATTTCGTATAAAGAGATTTTGTATCTGTCCTTTATTTCTTTACAGTATTAAATCAGTCCAACATGGTGTCTATTATTTGTGTCTGAAGTGGTCTTTGAAATGTTTCTAGACCAAACTCAGTGCCTTTCTTTCTGATCTGAGCCAAGTTCTCAGACAGCTTGAGCTTGTCCAGAAAATGTGCCGTGTAGGGGGTGATAACCCTTCTCATCCAGGCTTTGGTACTGTATGGAAGAATTGGATGAAAATGTTTCTATCCAATGGCCCTGTGCAAGTTTAATCTGAAAATATGCACGGTCCCTGCCGATGTGACAAACCCAGTTCATTATTACATCTTTTGTCTATTATGTAGGTAAACAAACCACAACAATCAAAATAAATAAAATAATAAAGCATTCCACATAAAGCAGAAAAGAAATAAAAACATTGGAAAAAACAAAGTCTGAAAAACTAAATTATGAACAAAAGGAGGGCACTGAAACAAATTTCTCTGTAACCCAGGTGACTCAAAAAGAAACTACAACAACAGTTAAAGTTCAAGATGACAACTCATGAGTAAACATGGAAAAGAAACTCTGCATGAACACAAAATAAGAACATTCAAATTCTGAAAAGCAAACAAACATAAAGAAAACACAAGCGCTGTCTGCATAATACGTACCTGACTCCCAAAAACACACAATTTTAAAGACTTTCTTACCACCAGCACCTGACTACAGAATGAGCCAACTTTGCTGTGCGACAACGCTTTCCTCGCCAGAAAGCATGCCGCAAATTCTGAGAGAAATCAGCGAGCCACCTTTTAATTTTGAGAGTTTGTTTTTAACCCCCATCTTTGGGTTTACTCTGAGAGAAAGAGTTGGCTCTATGCTGTAGCCAGGGCTGTCTGATACTGTACTGTCGGTTGGGAAGGTCCACAAGACTGTGAGCGGTGGAAGCGTTGGTGGAAAAATACTCCCTCCCAAGATATTCCATTCTAGTACATTTGGCCAACTACACAAACATCCTTTTTTATTTGCAATTTGCAAAAATAAATCCCATTTCATAGCCCTGTGCCTATGTCTCTTTGTAAAGCTTAGTGCCATTACGAGAATGCCAGGGCACCATAATAGAAGAAGCAACATGGAAAGCTTGTGTTGTGGAATTCATAAAAGTTTAATGACAGTGTTCTGCCTGTAATGTCACTTTGGGTAGAACAGCTTTAAAAGGAAATAAAAAACAGGAGTTCTGAGAATAAGACAGGCCTCCTCCCAGCGAAGACTGAATGTTCTAGCGCACAACAAATAAAACAGGACCTCAGCCACAGTTTCCAAACCCTTCTGTGTCCAATGGGCTTATTTACTTAAAGTCTTACTGGATTTTGAGCTTTTCAGCTTCTTTCCTTTCGCTCATATTGTATTTGCAAACCTTCCACGTCAAGAACGATTGCTCAGTTCTCAATCTTTGTAGGCAGAAAATGGCTATGAAACTGACAGTGGCCAGGCTATCACAGTGCACAGGCATCCTCATGCCTGATAACAGTTTAAGAGTGGCTGGGGCACAGCTTTAATAAAGTGCATATCCCAGGAAGTCCAGTGGCAGGATTACGGATACTAGAACTATACGAGCACAAAAGAAGAAACTCAGCTAATGCTTCACTTGAGGTTCTTTTGAAGCTTCGCTGAAAGACTTGCCCAAAATGCTCTTTGACAAATAATTAGTCATGTCTGCTTTTATATCCTCTGACTCTTAAGTCTGTTGTGATGTGACCGGGTGCTTTGGATATAAAATCAATAATGTCAAGTGCAGGTAGCATACCTAATTATTATGACTACATTCAGATTAAAATTGCCTCGGGAGCCAAGCAACTTACATACATTAATGCTTGCAATTTTAGTTACACAAGCTATTACTGAGTGCCTGTTGTGAAATGAACCCTGCACATGACAGATTGCCCGTGCTTTTGCTATCAGATTTTAAGCACATGTCTATATCTGCACTGTATTTTCATCAGATGACAGGATGTTCGAATTTGTAGATCATTATGGAATTAATCTCTCCACTGATGCCAAATGGCCGTGGTGTGGCTTACACAAATATTCCAATATATCTAAAAACCCACTTCAATTACAGTAAGTGTGTTTGTGCGCATTGAGGGGGGGTTGGGGGTTGGCGGCTGACTGCTTGTTTGGTTAAATACAGAGGATTTAGAATCTGCCACTTTAATTTGAGAGATAGCCCTTGAGTGGCTACTGGCAGGTTCTAGGTATAATCTAAATGTGTAACAAAGCCTGACAATCCAGGGCCTTGGCTCATAGCTCATCGCAAAGCATGAAATTAATTCTGACGCTATGAAATGGGATTCTTATCTGCGACTCTGGGGCCCTGCAGTCCCTTAACACCCACTCCCAGGGTCTGTCTCAGGTCCTGTTACCCTGCCTTGTGCGTGGATAACAGCTAGAGGAATGCTGGGAGCACCTCCTGGCTCTCAGGTTGTGGACCCACTCCGGCCACGTCTGACAGGTTTCACAAAAGTTATCGCATCCTGGTTTGACTATGGCAGCATACCCCATGAGGCCTTGCTTCTGAATGGGGGCCACTGTTGCCAATAACATTTGCTGTATTTAATCCGGCCTATTAAAACACTGGCCGAGAGCACCAAATGAAATGATTTTGGTGCTCTTTATTTTGATAAGTTACTTGGCATCAATCGCAGTAGCGCAATTAAAGGTCGTGAGAGAATTCCAAGAAAATTGTTATTCTCTGAAGTGACTTTTTCTGAGTTCTTGACAGAATGGTCCCCATGACAATAGCCTCGGGTAATGCTACTTGGACTGAGCACAAACTTCAACAATATGTGAACATTTTTACCACAGATACTAGACAACAAAGCAAACTGGAAAATCATGTTGTCTGTCTTTCTTTTCACTTTGTGGCAAAGTGTTTCAGTCTGCCAGACATCGCGGTGGATTCAAACCCAGTTGAAGTGGGTCTCGTGGGGGGGATTGTATGCTGTTGCTCTGCAATGTGTTTGGACAGAACAGGCAAAGGCAATATTAATTCATTTTATTATTTACTCTAGTTTTTGACCTAATGACGCTGATTCCTCCTGAGCAAGTTATTCATCTTTAAAATTAACTGCAGTAAGTTCAGTCAAGCAACCACTTAATCTTCATTATACTGTAAAGTAGGAGTATTATATGCGCATGTGTAGCAGTTTTTAGTGTCTGTGTACTCAGTGGATTATACTAGCTATTAAACCGCTGGTAGATCTGCTTCTTTGCATCTATATGTCAATAATGACCTTAACACATTCAGCTTTTTCAGATGTACAGAGTGACAATTTTAGCTCAATTATGAAGCCACTTAATAAAACTTATACCGTATATGTCTACAGATCTAGAGACATCCTGTGCTGTATAAGCATCTGAACTGCAGCTATTAAATATTTTTAAGCATAAAAAGGCTTAAGGTAGCTTTCCAATTGCTGTTGATATGTTTAATGAAAAAAAACCAAAAAACTATAAACTGGATGGTCTTTGATTAATGTTATGGCAGACTGAATCTCTAAACCACACAACCACTTACCTCAGAGCATCGAAAAAGCTTACATTATTTAATGTGTAGTGTTGGGAAATATTTTGCATTGTCTGACTTATTCTTTGGTTTTTCTGGTGCCTGCGGTGATAAACCTTAAAATTAAAACTAGAATAATATTTAATATCAACTCTATTATGGAAAGCAGAACTTATATCTGACACAATATTTACAGAAAACGGAGTTTGATGAAAATATCTAGAAGAGTAGTATTAAATTTTAAGATGGGCAGCTAGATATCGTTATCATCCAATGAAAATGCATAGATGAAGCAACTCAGAGGAAGAATTAAGCCTGTTATGCCCCATATTTACTTAAAAGGCAAATATGCCGTGTGTTGCTTCGTCTCTTGCGTTGTACTTGCTTTGTCAGCGGTGGACTACGGTTCATACAAGAACCACCACCCCACCCACCCCTCAAAACAAAGCCAAAAAGAGTAGCAAGCTACTGTTTGGAATGATGCCAAACCAATACTCTTTCAGAGAACCCAGAAATAAATACAAATTGATAAATAAATAAAACATCTAACAGAAAACCTTTTCCAAAAGAGTCAACATAAAAGGGAGAGGACACAAAGTGAGCAAAGTGATGTCAAGCCATTCAAAGGAGGAGGACCTTTTGTTCCAATGCACAGGGGAACAAGTGGCAAAAAAGGGGAAACAGAGCTGAAATAGGGATGTGATAGGAAGATAGAGGCGTATCCAATCCAATCAGCTTGTGGTTTACCGGGCAAGGAAATCACAAAGACACAATGATAGGTGAAAATGTGCACAGACACTCAAAAGACACCAAGACAAAAGACGGATGAACACAGAGTATTATCATGCCAGGACTGCTTAAAGATCAGCGGTGCAGTGTTAGGTTTAAAACAGCACCCCAAGTGGGCAGGAGTGAGTATGGCATGCAGGTGGCGCCCTCCTCAGTGACTATGCACTGCTTGTGTAGCTCTGCTGCCTAGCAGTAACAAAAAGAACTGTGACGTGGTTGTTTCAAAGCTGCCCCCCCACACACATCCAGATGTGGGGATACAGCCAACAAGTTGCACTGGTAGAAACAGAAAATGTGTTAAAAGAAGTCTCTCTCCCGCCATGGCTCTCCTTTGTCGGTGTACAATTTCTCTAAATCTACACAATGCAGTTTATTGAGAATAACAATAGCCACTCCAACAAAGCATGCGTTTTTGACTTCTCTATTATTACAAAGACTGGCTCAGATCCACCAGTAATCCCTTAAATCCAGCTCTATTTTCAAGGTTCTTCACCATTAATGCATTACATCTTAATACACATCACTTTTGTGCTTTTTATTTATAATAAACCCAAAAGACAATGAATTTAATACATTGTTTTACTTGTACCTACTACTGCATTTGACTGGATAAGCTGTGGGTATTTTCTTTCCCCACAGACTCCACCACTGTGCACTATGATATCACTGCTGTTATTTTTAGCTGGATGGTTTGAATAATTCAGTTGTGTTTCTACCATCAGTAAAATGAAATAATCAGTGCAGAACAGACTGCTATAAATTTAGAGGGTGGGCATTTTAGTAATTTAGGTGACTACTACTTTCTTTTTTTTTGGTCTTTCGTGACTAAATTCACATTGCTACTAGACATACAGCTCATATAAGAGCCTTGGCGGTTTCAGAGGAGAACTGACATTTTTTGTGTCTCTGTCACGTGGGAAGTGCACTTGCTGTTGACAAAGGAGAAGCAAATATGAACAAAATTGAGAAGGGAAAGAAAGAAAACTGCCAAAATTGTCAGTCCACAAAGACTCAATATGTTTGACAGAGTACACTCACATTTTGGCACCACAGCTAATTTAGAAGATAAAATAATTCTCAAATCAAAAATAAAAATGCAAAACACTCAGTTTGAAAAGTCTTTACCCCTTTGTAGCTTCTTTTTAACCACCTTGCCACCAAGGTAGAACATACCGCCGTTGTTTTGGTTCATTAAGGTTAACAACACGAAGGTCAAATACAGAAATATGAATCCACAACAAACGGCAAGAATTCAACAACATAACAGTTAAATCAGTTTGCTATGTGGTCTTAATCAGCTTTAAACTGTGATTAGGAAGTCATTATTAAGGAATAAGTGATGATACCGCTGACATCAGAGAAAAGGGGAAAAAACACAAAACTCCATTAGAAATTCAGTTTAGTATTCAGTGTAGCAATGGTCCACAAAGGTGTACAGTCATGATGTTTTTTTAACTGTGGCATAGATAGGAAAACCTCTTTGTTAGCGAAAAGAAAGTTAGACGGGAGACTGAATAAAGGGCTACATACTCGCTTGCAAGGTCTTCTGCGTAATGTCATTTGTGAAGGCTCCGATGCCTTTGTTAGAGATGGCTGCCAGGGAGAAGCGATACTCTGTGTTGGGACGGAGACCTTCCACAACATATGATGTTGTGGGTCCAAATGTTTTCTTCATCTGTTGATTAAAAATATGCCTTTTGACAAGTCTGAATTTAAACGACGTGCAACGTCCGATAAGCATTTCTTGAATGTAAAAACCAGCAAACACTAAGATTCTTACCTGGCCTCCAAAAGTGCTTTCCATATAACGAAGTTCATAACTTATAATTCCCTCTTTCTCATAGGCGGGTTCCCAGGTTAGTTGAATGCTGGTATCGGACACAGCACCAACCTGGAATTTAGATGGTTGACCTGGAACTGAAGAACACAGCAGAGGACTTTGTAGTGGGATAGGTTACTAGAAATTAGTTACAAGTTTCCTCCAAATACCAATGCAATAATATATTTAGGCTAATGAGAATTTACTTATTTTGCGGTGTCTAAAAGTGGATGTGCCCTGAAGCTCATCCTTCTTTCTCAAATCGGGTTTTTTTTTTTATTCAGACTATAATGATCAAACATATTGTAACATCATTTGGAGATGTGAAGTTTGCACAGCAGGAAAGAAAACAATGTCTCTTAGGCACCGAGCACAGTCTGCTCAAAGTTTCAGAAAATATAGGATGCAACAGATTCATAAAAAACAACTGTTTATTTTCCATTTTCGCAGCATTCGTCTAAAGCCTTCTGCTTTAGGGGCCATATCGTTTGAAGAATTTCTGTATGACTTACTTTAAAGTTACCTAACAATGTGCTTTCAACATTTTCTGAACACTGAACTGAACAGATGCTCATCACACATAGTTTCAACACCAGCAGCCGAGCTGACCCAGTTAGGAAAATTCAGTCGGTATAGAGTCCTTACCTCCTTGCAGTACTTTGACATGGATGGGTTCTGAAAAAGGTCCATCCCCTACAGAGGTGAATGCTAAAACTTTGATTGTGTAGGTCTCTTGAGGAACTAGGCTCTGGATAGTGGTGATGAGGCTGTCCTGGACATTATGGATCTGCCAGAGGCTCATGGGCTGGGAGTTATCCATGGTGTAATAAACACGGTAGCCCTTAATCTGCCCATTGGGCTCCTCTGGCTCTTCCCACTGAACCATCATGGTATTTTGGGGAAGAATCTGGGCCTTAATGTTTCTTGGTGGACTGGCCGGGGCTTGTTCACCAGTCCGAGTTTCTACCGGCTCACTAGGAGGACCCTGGCCAATTGTGTTGACAGCTGAGACACGGATTTCATACTCCGTGTTGGGATAAAGGCCGCCAATGCTGTAACGTGTAGTGGTGATGTCGTCCATAGTTTCATATTTGCTGTCTGGAGACTTGGCCCTATATTGGATGATATAGTATGTCACTGGATCTGGGTTTCCTGAGTCCCAGGTGATGGTCACACTGGTGGCAGTGGTCTCCGTAACTACGGGGGTACCTGGGGGCTTTGGGAGAGCTGTTATGGTAAAAAAAACAAAACAGAAATTAAAGCAGTTAAGAAAAAAACAAAAAATGTAACTTTGAATAAAAAACACACTTGAGGCTTGGGCATTTTTTCCAGAGACAGGAATATTTTGGCAATTCAGCAATTTTCTGTATGTTTAAAACTTAACTGAACATAATGTCGATAGGTAGTCTATGTTAACTAAACTTATGAAGTCTATCTAGGTCATTGGCACCGGTCTTCACAAGCACAGTTTTCTCTTACATTTGACAGTGATCTGTGCCATAGATTCAATAATCCCAAGGCTGCTCATGGCGACACAGGTGTAGTTGGCTGACTCACGAACGTTGCTCAGTTCAAGAACGTTTCTACCCACTGGCATCTCATCCTCTGGCGTCAAATCCTCAGCGTTCAGCATCCATTTGACATAAGGCATGGGCGACCCCACTGCCACGCACGTTATGTTGACGCTACCACCGGGCATGATTTCCTGACTTGCTGGTGGAATGGAGAAGCGAGGAGGCACCCGCCGGACTGGGAGAAGGCATGAGGAAGGGGGAGAGGATGACAACAGAGGGCAAGGGCGTCAAAAAAGAGAGAGAGAGAAAGAGAGAGAGAGAGAGGTAACAAGAGAGGCCGATGAAAATGGACCTTTCTCCAGAAAATACTTAACACAAAAGGTTCAACATGGTAAATGTGAACTGAAACACAAAATAAAACTAGACTTTTTAAAGCATAAACAAAAAAAATACAAATAATGAGAAGGAACTAAACTAACAGAATTGCTTCAACAACAATATAGATTAACAATTAAGCAACGATTCATAGCAACAAGGTTCCATTGACCAATATTTGACCCATCACAGCACAATTAAAGACACAAAAATCTATTACGAGTTTCTCATCTTTGGGACTGAACTTCTGACAAATATACAACTACAGCGTAAACTATCCCCGAAGTATGAGAGTGTGTAGTAAAGGCCATGTGATAATGTTATCACATAAGACCAACATGGCAACCTGGAACTTCCTGTCCTATCAGGCACTCATGCCAAACAAGAAGTTAGCCATTACAGGCCTCTCCCACAGCACAGGAAGTGTAGGGTTACTGACTATTGACCATCTCCATGAGGTCACTAAACACATTCTAGCATATGTTTGCCACTTGACACCTGCCTCTACTTCCTGGTTAGCTTAAAGATGAGAAACTTTAATCAGATTTTTGTGGTTTAGGGTAGATCCACTGGACAAAGCCTTATTAAGATCTGACACGGTTCCATTGATAGATGCAGCTATCAGTTTCACAGACAGCATGCATAAATAGATCGAGGTAAATTAAGGAGTAAATGATAACAAAATCAGATATAAAAATTGAGATAAAATGCATAGAGGAATATAACTGAAGGGTCGCTAGCATGCCCAGACAAAAGACGATTGGAGAGGAAAGTAGAAGTACAAGATAGAGGATTTGACATCCGAGGGAAGTATAGAAAGAAAGGCAACAGAGTAGCAAAGAGTGACAGAGGAAGAAAAATAGAGGGAAGGTTGGAGGAGGGTAAAAGGGGGGGAAGGGAATAACCCGCTTCAGTGCTGTGTAAACTTTGTTTCTCTTTAGCTAATGTGACAAAATGTGATGGTGGCACATTGTCACATCGCAGTCCCAGTTAACACAAAATAAGTATTGAGGAACAAGTTGTGTGCCTAGAAATACACAGAAAAAGAATTATAGTAATTGTAGCCAGAGAGTCGACTATCACAGAGTGTTGAAGAAAGGAAACAGAACTGGATCAACAGGGAGCAGAAATCCAGGGGATAAGACAGAGAAGAGGTAAAAGGAGAAACAGAGGTAACTGAATTAGGACAGAATGAAAGCTAAGAGAGAAAAACAGGGAGAACCTCAAAACTCATGGATAGGACTGGAGATCTGAGTGGAAGGAGGTTGATAATGAGCCTAAAGTGCACGGAAAGGTGTAAACGGTACTGTGTACTTACATGTGTATATATAGATATAGTATGTGTGCAGTTTTTTTGTTTGTTTTTTGCATTGGTATAGGAATGATTGTGCAGAGTATGCAAAAGTTGGAGAGTGAAAGAGCATGATTTAGCAAAAGACACCATGTTTATGAGAGGCATCCCAGCAAACACTTGATAGGAGATAGTAACATGCAAGAGGATGGCTAGCTTAATGCTAACACAAATTAGCACACAGTTGTTGTAAACTGATAAAATGTTGGGTTTTCCTTTCCTATCTTAATCTAGGGTGGGTGACAATAGCTGGAGCACTGCTCTAATTATAGCATGCACAATTTCTTTGTATTTATCTGAACAAAAACTTTGGTTTAATTTAAACAAAAAAAGGCACAGACTGTTACAGGGTTCTATAATTTCTATGTATGAACTTTAACAAAATCTACATCTAAGTCAAGATGTCTGTTGGGATGGAGAGGTTAAAGAGACAGAAGGAAAGTAAAAAAAAGGCATAGAAGGAAAAAAATTATGAACTAAATGGAAGAGATGACTTCAGAGATAGACAAGACGGAAAAGACAGGGACGAGAGACAAACACAAGGCAGAACCAAACAGACCCAAGCAGCAAGACAGTAGACAAGACAGACAGAGGAAGACGGGCAGACATACAGTGACGTAGAGTATGGGCACGAAGACAAATTATACAATACGCAAAGGGGAAGAGGAGGGGTTTGGGGTTCTTGGAGAAAGGGGGAAGGAGGAGGAGGATATAAGTGGGGATAGAATAAGTAAACTGTGATTCTGGAAAAAGAAAAAAAAAGAAAAATAATGACTGAAAGTGGGTTTAGAAGTCTCACACACTGGGGCTTAAAATCAAGACTCAACTTCACGTCCCCCTCTCCCCACCTTAAACTTTGCACAAGAATGCAAATGTGACTTCGGAAGTCTTGGGATGGGTAGGTGTGATGTGTGTGGAGGTGGTACGCAGAGACTGAAGGGGAGATTTGGGAGGGGGGAGACTGAGAGTGGCGTCAAGGATAGGTAGCATTCCAAAAGCACACCGTGTCGATCCAAATGGGATTCATATGATCGTTGCATGAGACAGTTGAACTTTTCCAACAAAGTAAGGCACAAATATCACCTACACACACTATGGGGATTTTTACCTGGGAGCTTACATGATCTCTAACATGTAGCAGTCTTAGAAACCAATGCATCTTGCTCTCATGTAACAAACACTTTGGACAGTCCTTCCAGTAGCAGACTATGAACCTTCTGCATCCCGTGTTGTGTTTTCTGTCATCTGAGATATTCTGTGTACATCCTAACAATAGTTTATTGTGACCGGCCACAACTCTACAACCAAGACAAGACCTAACCTTGAGGGCAAAAATGTAATTACTGATTTTTGAGAAAAAGGAAAAAGAAAAAAAAAAGCTCTCTTGTGGAGCACAAAATTATCAACGGTAAAAATAGACCACAAAGGTCTGTTCTTAAAAATATCAAATCTCTGAATTTTTACAATTGAACAAAAATTTTTTAATTAGAAGCAACTGTGGCTCTATAAAAGCCTGTTCTACTCTGATCCAGTTGAGATACACTTTGTTTTTTAAATGACAGACTCAAAAAAGTCAGTGGGGTAGATTATTCGAAAAACATGTTGAATTGGATAAAAGGAAAAAAATATATCTGCGTTTATTTTTCAAAAATGTCCTAACTGAACAACAAAGGTGAAAGGGCAGCCCATTCCTCACACGGACATGCATGGGTGTGGCTACGGCATGAGTGACATGTACAGGTGCGCCCCCATCCATTTGGGCAGACACCAGATAACCAATACAATCGAAAAAAATGTCACCCAAGCCCGTCCAAGCATGCCATCCATTCCCAAATATAGCATTGTTCCAGACACACACACACACGAAATCAAATTAAAGTAAACAAATGAAACTGAACAAATCCACAAAAAGAACTACGTCCGAACAGCATAGACAGTACCAGAGTGCAGCTGTGTTCAACAAATAGGTATGCATCAATACTATTAGATGTTTTTTTTGTTTGTTTTGCTTGTTTTTTTATCTTGAATTTTGGTCTCCAATCCAAAATAATGGTGAAAACTCAATAGGGGAAACAAGGTTATCTGGGGGAAACTTCCAATCAAAGAGTGTCTGAGGGAGCGCTTCTCTCCCTGGGGCTCAGGTCAGCCAATGGACCGGGAGCTGTAGTGGCTGAGTGAATGAGGTTTCCCCACATAAACATGTCTTTGTTTACCTTTGAGTACCTATAGTGTCAGGCATCTAACACCAGTCACCTGCCAAATGTTGGTAACTTTTGGCTGTGGCTGGTGTGTGACGTAATGTTCAATTCACGGAGCCAATAAGCAAAAACATCCTTGCTTAAAGGCTTCCTGGTACTGGGCAATCTACTGATAAATGATATGCAGGTGAGTCTACCTGTCAACAGTGTCACCGTGTGTAAGACAGGTAAGTGAATTTGGTCTATAGGTACTACAGGAGATCAAGAGCTGAAGATCCCTTCAGTTCTAACTCCAGATTGGCAGAAAAATGTTTAAATCTTAAGGAAAACACAACATTAATTCTACATCTAAATGTCAATGTCACATGCAAATGGGTCACTGATATTACTGACCGGACACAGGCCTGGTGCGATACGACTTAATGTTCTGAGTAATGCTATGATAAGTTTAGATAAGCTGTCTGCATGTGTGTGAAACCTTCTCCTACACTACCTCACAAATGTATTGAAACATAGGAAAAAAAGCAGAAAGAATCCCAATTGCATGGACAGGCTCCTCATTCACAGAGACCAGGAGCCCAGCCGGCCCATTTGGAATTAAGAGAAAACAAACCAAACGTAGTGTACTAACAACATGTAATCTTGTTTCAAGCCCCAATGTGGAGAGAAAGACAAGAAGCCTTACACTGGACGAGGTGAAAAGCAGTCGAGAGAGAATGCCAGAGTACTGCACTAACTCTAATAGTGGGCAGTGTTGTGGAGGGATTTGTGCCAAAAAACAGAGGTCAGAAGGTGGACATTATCGGCCATTTTGGTGAGGCAGGTTTTGCTGCCCCAAAATGAGGGGGGAAGCCAAAATAATGTGCAGCCTTTAGTGTCACCTTGAAGCTGAGATTACACCCTCTTGCTGCCTGAGGACACAGGTGCAGTATAGAGATCCTTTAGTCACACTTGCCTGGGAGAGGCCTTGGGCATTTACATATAAGCCACAGGGGTCGGTCTGTATTAACATACCTTGGCTGCGCCAGTGCTAAACAGTCACTATGGGTGGCTCATCAGAATGGAAATTATTACCTAAAGGAACCTGACAAGAATCGTGGCATGGGTATCTAATAATAGCAAGCAGTAGATTGAGGGGATTTCAAAGCAAATCACTCTTTTTCTATTGTCCTACAAGTAGATGACAAGCAGCCAAATGATACTGCAAGTATGTCCCCTCACTGTAAAGATACCTACAATGATTGTTATTACTCTGATTTTGAAAGAAAGTATGTTTGTATATATAGCATAAGGAGGTTATACAACATTTGCTTTGTCTGAAAAATGAAGATTTCTGAAAACAACATGTTTTTTTTTAAAGTGGGTATTATCTCGGGGGACTCCTTGAGACAAACATCTAATAGAGATGGCAGGATTTTTGCTTTGGCCAGTGAGAACGTAAGGTGTAATCTAGCTTTCTTTCCCAACAGTACACACAAATGCATAGCAGGACATGCAAGCACATTCAAAACCAAGCAGATACCACCGTAGGAGGGTAAACATGCACATGCGTACAGAACAGCGCAGTCTTTCTGCATCACTGTTATTTTTAGCACTTCAAGTAAGAGCTACAGACTTAATATAGACACAGCCAGGTTTATTCTGTTTCTTTTGCGTGGTTTTAGCATACTTTGTGAACACTTTCATAGACCATACTGCTACAGTGTCTTTGACAGCCAACTGGTAAATAGAGGTAATGGAAGGGAAAACCTCCACTTTGTCCATAATAACTAGTAGATCTGAGATAATTGCCTATATTAGTCCTATGACTTTACTTAAGGACAAAGGATGGGTTTGTGCATTTCAGAGGAATGGAATAGGTGTTGTAGCTTGGGATTGAAACCTACGTCCACTAAATTCTAAATCTTTGAGGGGTTATTTTTGATATTTGGGCTTACTGTAGTTCATACTTCCATAAAATCTTGAGGAACAAAAGAGGCTAATTAAAATAATCTGGCTATTTGGTAGATAGACAGATAAAACACAACGTTTCTGGATAATTTGGTATATGGTGTTGCCTGAGAAAATCATATATACACTCGGGACTGACTGATACCAAAGCATGTAATCTGGTAATGAGTTTGCTGTTGCGGTAGTTGTCATTTTTATGACTTTCAGATATGTTGGTTTAGTCCCTGGTGACTGATACACATGAAAACCACAAAAAGAGACTGGTACTAAGAATGTGCATCATCTCTTCTAGTTGAAAGAATGGTATTCCTGATCTGACTCTCTTAACTCCATGTAACACCTCTAACATAAAGCCATTGCTCCATTAAAAAACCCAGTAGATCTATCTTAAATATTCTCGAGACTAGCGGAGCTATGAAATGCACATGTATATACGAGTTCCCAAAATTGTGTGACACGGAGTTCAGTAAAGATCTGATTATTGCACAAAGCCAATCAAATCTACAGTTAAGCAGAAAACAACGTTTGCATTGATCTCCAATTCATTTAGCACTTTCTTCTTTTTGTGCCAGGACAATAACACGAATGAAAGATACAAATACGGCGCATTTTCTTGCGCTTTTTAGAAGCTTCATCAACCTGGATATCAATATTCCATGAGGAAAAGAGAGGGAGTGTGTGTGTGCGTGTGTGTACAAAGGAAGGAGGGCTTTTGAATAATAGATTATAATTTGATGGAGTGTCATGACTGCGAGGGAACACAAACAGCAGTCATTCAACAAAACCAATCACATTCTAGCTGCCGCCATTTGAAAATAAAAGTATCTCTGAGCACCCGCTAAGCAACAGCAAATTTGATGTCAAACTCATTATATTGTTATTGATCCACACGACACTGTAAATGGCATCCCTTAATGGCTGCCTAAAATCACCATGGAAGCCAATCAGGCCCAATCAGGTCTAATTTTTCCAGTAATGGATCGCTATAAACAAGATGACAGGAACACTGGCTGTATACACACTTATTATTTCATTCGACATTTGCATTTGCACTCCGAGACCCAAGAAGCAGAGCAGCGTCATTTTTGAAAAAAAAATCTCACCGACAAATAAACCACAAAAAGAGACTGATGTTTTAACAGAAAAAAGGGTCACCAATAGATAAGGAACTAAAGGAAAACGCACAACACAACACTATAATCACAACACAAAAATAAAGAAATAAAGGGAAAAACAAAAAAAAAGTAAGCCAAAAAGGGGTGTGTTAGGGAAAATACAACCAAAACCAAAGAAAGAGAACTGAAGAAAAAAAAGGAATGCAGAAACAAAAAGAGCACTGCGGCCAAACGGCTTTTGAAGAGGCATGCAAGCGCAGTTACATTCTCCCATCATGCAACAGGTCCTGTTATTTCCACACGCTGCATTTCCACTCAGCACATGCAAGAAAGCCTTTAGATGCAGAAGCAATACCAAAGGATGCAAAACGAGAAAAGGCCCCACAATGCAAACATAAAAGTAAATTAACAAGACCCGAGCTAATCGGGTTTGCTTTCATCATTTCTTCCTTTGAAAAGAAATCAAAATTTCTTTCATAATCATTTAGCAGTTTGGATCAGCTGATTAGTATCTCTTCAAATTAGTAATCAATTGAGCTCTGAAATAGGCAAATACAGCTAAAATTTTTTCTTTCCAACATGTTGAATTTATTATTTGTTAACGTGGGTTAAAAAAAGTAAAAAAGAAAAAACACACCAACCTTCTCGAAGCTCTGAGGGATGTAAAGGGGTTGATGCAGAACACAATGACATGAGGAGAAGAGAAAAATAGGGGAAACACAGAGAGAGTAAAAAAAGCCACCTCAAGGTGTTTAGCTGCAGCTACATTTCCCTTTTCTTTCATCTTTTTTCCACTCCTTTTCCCTTTCCCCGCTATCAGTGAAACCCGTCTTGAAAGTACACTTGCCTGCCCCACCCCCGTAAATAAACTTGAACCAAAACAATCAGATTCACCCCAGTGGCCGCACTGTCGCCTGGTAAGAAAAAAAAAGGAAGTGAGGCGCCACTGGAGTCACATCAAGCTTTCCATTCTCATAATTCAGAATTTCATAAGCTTCTTATAGCCACGAGGAGAAGCTCCTGCTGCGGCCGTACTTGCTTTTATTAGAGAAGGAAACAAAATCAAGAGAAAACAAAAAAGGAGAAAAAAAAAACAAATGAGAGATTGAAAAGAAGAAAAAAAAAAGACACAGTTTGGGATGAAATTAGCAGCTGCAGTTTAAGGCAGTCCCACTAAAAATGTCATTGGAAGCCAATCAGAAGCGCCGTTGTTGGGCCTTCAGTCGAGTTGCAGTCTTAATTTAGGATTTTTATATATGTATATATTTCCTGCTCTTAATTGGTCCCTACCGCAGCTGCTAATCTCAAGTGCATTTTGCTTTGTGAACAAAACATAGTCAACATCAAGTATCAAGAATCGATTGACAAAAGTTAACTGAAAACAGACAAAGGTCGACACCATCAAAGCATAACAAGTGTGTTACATAGCGTGAAAGTACTTAAGTATTTATGACCCTTGTGTACTCTTTTAAAGGCATGCTGATGGAGCCAGTGTTCATGGAGACTGCATGAATTGTTGGAAATGATATCACGGAATATATATATTTATGTATATATATGTTTTGACCAAAGGAGCTGCTGAACATCCCAGTGCTGTGTCAACAAAGTGTTCCCATAATTATTCATCAGTATTTAATGATGCCTGTAGAGTACTTGACTAGAATTTTCAATGACCCTTTTAACACCTACTATGCTACGTATTAGCAAGGTGGATAGCTACTTGACATTGCCCGCATCACAGAAGAGACAGCATGCGCCTCCAGGATAAACACTGGCAAGAACAGAAACTAATCTTGATGAACCCTTTTTTTTACCTTCAGCTCTTCACAGTGGAATTTTTCCCTTTCCTATGCTGCTACTTCACAGGGTATGATAATAGCAATAATAATGAAAAAGCAGCTCCCTGACCCATTTTATAATGTCAGAGTAGTGAATTATTTATTGGGAACAAAGTTATTTGGTACACAGCAGAGGGAACAAACTGAGTAGATACGGAGGCATTTTTATTTAATATGCACAGTATAAATAAACCATGTCGAAAATGCATCTGCTTCAATTTATTAAAGCTCCCTCAACAGGGATCCATTGTCATTTAGCATTAGTGGTGGAGAGTACGCTTTTGTCTTCATTGTCTGTTTCCTATGAAACTCTATGTTCCCTGTGACTGATCGTTTTTTATATCTTCGCTTTGCTCGAACATTCCAGCCAAAATTACTACTGACTGTAAAAGCCTTTATAGATAATACACCAAAGAAGAAACATGGGAATACTATGGATTTATGCTCCAGAACAGCATGACAAAGAAATAGAGGATGTATACTATTTATAATCTTTTTTTTCTTTTTAAACAGAGCAGCCTACTCAGTTCTCCTCCTCCAAATCTAGAGAAGGCTGAGGGGTTGAGGTTTTGATTGGCGGGCGATAATACATCGCCACTCAATCAAGACAGACTTACCGTTGTGCTCCTTTACCTGTAAAAAACTAATCAAAAAGACGTCCTTCCGGACTCTTTTTGGGTTCCAACTTTGACAGCGCGGGAAACATTTGATCGGGCACACAGTTACAGGTAAAAGGTGTCTTACAACCGATAAAGTAAAGACATACGGCTTGTTGTGCTACACATTTCCTTCCGAGTGAGTAGGGGAGGGCATTAAAAGAAAAAATGGAGCATAACATCATAACAGAGAAGAACATTAGTTGGTCAATTATAGTTTTACATCTGGAAGTTTCAGTGCATATGAAATTACATTTACGGGCAGGCAATACTATCAGTGCTAAAATATTGACACTACTTGGGTAATACTATTTTGCAAAATACATTTGGTGCAAATACAACTAGGCTAGAATGGAAGCAGTTATCATTTGTTAAGCTCAACAGTAATGCCATTTATGGCTGAGCTGCACTGTCAAGTTATTTTAGTTAGAATGGGTAGATGTTTTATTTCTTTATTATTCTTCCTGTTTTGTTTTGTTTTCTTGGCCTGATTCTTTGACCGGGTTGCTCCCTACCTCGCACATAAAGGTTAGCAGGGGACGAGTAGCGCACGCCTTCCACGTTAGACGCCACACACTCGTACTTCCCCTGGTCCGTCTCCTCGCTGTTCTCGATCTGCAAGGCACCTGGAAAACGACGACATTGAACAAAGACGAGACGGGGAGGGAAAGAGGCAGGAAAAAAAAGAAGGAAAAAGACAGAGAGACAGGAAGCAGAGAGGAAATGATTAGTCAATCTGTCTGTGACAGTGCATGAAGAAGTCAGACAATCTTCTTAATGGTGGGTATCTTGAATTTCTCAGGACCACTTTGTCAAGATCTGCTTCTCTCCGCAATGCTTATGCAGATTGGCATGACAAACTGGCTTCCACTCCAGACTCAGCCATCCACAGATTAAAAAGAAGGGGGGAAATAAATGAATAAAAATGTGGACTGAATCAGTCACACTGGATTTGTAGCTACAGTAGGCTGGTTTATGCAACTCGTGTAAGATGTGAGATCGCTTACAAAGAAAGTGCAATAAAGTAATGATGTAAGGATGCTGAAAGGTAATGGAGAAAGGGTGTTGAGATGGTCTTGTAAACCCCATGAGATTAGTAAATCACCCTTTGCATAACGCTCACCAGAGGAGAGTGTGTGTGTTAGTGTGTGTGTGCGTGTGTGCGCTGGTGCAGGGGGAGAGTTTATGAGAAAATGTCCCCACATCCACAGCGTTCCAGCCCATCTGCTATCATGTGATAACTACTCATCAAAATTGTGACAAATGCTCAAACAACCTTGCAAACGAATACATACAATAAAGCATTATTATTATTAATATTCAGGTTTTAATATTGTTATTCAGTTATTTGAATTCCTAAGCATTTTAATCGCTTATACATTTACTCTATTTTGTGTGCCACTCTCTTTGACCCCCATTCTTTTCTCGCTTATTGTCATTATTATGCGTTCGAAAACAGACGCCTTTGAGCTACTTTCAGACATTATTTCTCACCGGCAGTGCTTCTTATATACTATGCGCAAATACAGTAAACCGAAATGCCTGGCGACACTGAAGAAAAAGGTGCAAGGGACAAAGGAGGGAGGTGAAACAACAGGCGTCAGATCATTCCTCATTAGAGCGCTGTTGACGGCACTTCCTGATGATATCATTAGGGCTTCTGGCTGGCTCAGCAGACAGATTGCAGCCGAGGCCTCTCTGACAAACACAGCACCATTGCTCGTTAACGTTTAGCCAGGAAGCATCAATATGCCAGCAGCTTCCCTGGATGCTTTGTAATATACCATAACCTACTCCATCACATCAGCAAAGTAGATTGAACACAGTGTTGAACAAGGCTACTATTCTGGAACTTTGGCCTAATAAGGTGCTTCAGCTGTGCCACAAATGAGATCATTGATCCTGCTTAATTATAAAGATAACTCACTTTCCCTCATGACTATTTTATACCTTTGGGTCAGTTTTTTCTTTTCAAAACAATAATAAAGACACGAAGCCACAGCAATCTATGGCGCTCTATTTTTTGTTTTTTCTTTTTAGCATCTCTTCATTTCAATCTAAAACTCAGATCATCCTCATCCCTCACGGGGAAACTGTTCCTGGCACACAGCTCGTGAACCAAATGAAAAAAATCTACCTGCAGAGTGCAGGTGGCACAGTCTTCGCCGTGGGTTTATGCAAGCATCTGATTTGGATTTGTTTGATGTGCACTTGGAACAGCAAATGCCAGCGCGGTGGCAGGTGGGTTGGAATGTGCTCAGAAGCTGAGTGCCTCGGCACAAGGGAGACCACAAAGTAAGGACTGTGTGAAGTTCAACTCCAGGTGGACGCTTCCAGAAAGCTCTGCCAGCGGCTTGTCACCCTCACTCACTGCGCTGAATTATAAAATCGCTGGAAGCCCCTCGTTGTTAACTGTTACCACACGGTTGAATAACAAGTGATGTTCTATGTCACGTGCTGTCGGCGGCTACTGATCATTTTCCTCTAGTAAAAAATAAATATCAATCTATCACGTGTAATTTGACAGTAAACAAAATATGACCACCGATATCTCAATGATGCACTGAGAGCCAACTATTAACAACATTTGGTGTTGTTTGCAAATTTCTGGCAAAGAGGGGAGTGCAAAGAGAGAAAAAATACACTTTGAGAGAAGATGGGGAGTTTCATTTGCTCCAAGACACCATGCTAGGTAGGATTATCTATTGTTTCCAAGCCCCTACTGGCTTCATTACACATTCGAGCTATTATTTCAATATGAAGCTCTGAAGAACACACAAAAGAGTCTTTCTAGTTGCAGAACATGGGAGAAAAAGTTCGGGAGGAGAGAAAGGCAAGCACAAGATGCTTGAAAGCAGAGAAGCAAAAGAAGGAAAGGGAGCGAAAGAAAAAAAATGTACAGGGACAATGTCAGAGAAGGGGGAATATACACTATTTATTAGCTTCTGTCTTAAAGTTGTCATAACTTGCTCTATTACAGCTGGGATAGCCTCCAGGCCTCCCATGATTCTGAGAAAATGTATTTCTTAAAAATTCTAGGAAGAAAACACTAAAAACCCCGTTTGACTCTGTGACTTTGCCTTTTGAAAATCGGGGCTAAATACAGTTTTTCGTGTTCGTTTTGCTATACATTTTCCTTGAGCTATGGCTTGCTCTTTTGTAAATGATTTAGTTCATTTAAATTATCTCACCACATAAAGAGGAAGCAAAAAATAATAATATTACTTTTTTGCAATGACCAGTGACAAGGCAGGCAGTCTAAGGCCAGATAATATTAAGGTATAAAGACAACAAATGTTTTTGATGACCTATCTGGAGCTGCAGCATGCATGTGTGCACACAAGAAACCAAGACCCATGTGTCTTTTTGTTCCTATCACTTCTCTTTTTGTGTGTTTTTGTTTTTTTAAATGGCTGCGCTCTGTGTTTTGCATAATGCGCTCTGTCTGCTCTGCCAGCCTGTTGTGCGAGTGGCCAGTGGCACAAGAAATGAAATAAATGCTGAAAATTATCTTTCGCAAACATAACACAAAGAAAAACACGCACCGGGTCTGTTCAAACACTTGGTGTTTACTGATAAAGACAACAATTTATAGTGTTGCTCACATGGTTATTAAATTTATCCTACATGGGGTCTTAATGCCACGGCTTCCTTGTCTCCAGCTATTAATCCTTATCACAAATAAAAACTGCTGTAACTACACAGATCACAGGGTTTTTTTCAGAAAAGAAAATACTCGTGTTAGTGCTAATCTGCTCCTAATCATGTCTGGATGAACAAAAACCATGGGTACTTTTACTTTATATATTATCTGCAAACAAAAACCGTACTTTACTCCAGTTACAAAATCAGTTTTTGCAGGTTTATCACTGCTGCGATTCCAGTTACTACAGAAAAAAATGTTGTTTTTAATGTTTTGTCCTGTCCTGAATACAGATTAACCATTTGAGTAATGCCACTTTTCATAGCAATAGATAAATAAATAGATATTGTAAGTGTACAACTTTAACTCCAGCCCAGCATAATACAGAACTACTGTGTGGTTACCACTTTATTTCTTTGCTCTCTAATTTAAGGACATTTAAAAAGGACACTTGACTTTTCAAGGACACTATGTGAGCTGTACTGGGAATGGATCAGAGCTCCGGCTGTCCACCCAACAGCTACAATAATCATTAGTAAACTGCCTCTGCTGAGTTATAATTCATGTTTTACTAGGTCAGAGCAGTAAAAGATACCCTTCTGTCTGTTACTCAGTGATTAATGCATGGCACACTATTAAGGTCAGCATTAAGGAGAAAAAAGTGGCTAAGTCTCCTAATGACATCAGTTATCCAGGTTGATCGATCTTCTAAGTCTGACTGACCACAAAGACCCACAACCTCCAACCTCCCCTGCTACTCACTCTGACTGTCTTGCAGCAAGTTTACTGCCTTCATTCATTTGATAAAGAAGGCTGTAATGGAGCATTCGTCCCAGCTGTGACGGCTGCCCTGGTTAAAAGTGCCACATGCTGCAGGCTGACCTGAAGAAGAGGACTGAGGTGCCAAGGTGTGATAACAAAGAAGACTGCCTAGACGAGGTTCGACAAACACATGTTTTTGATTCAGGGACAAACACTCTTGCTGAGAAACTGTTAAAAGCAGATATATTTTGCTGTCCTATTCAGTTTATGCCAATTTTGATAATTTTAGAACGATAACTTAGAAGCAGACTAGATTTGTCTAGAAGTCAAGGTTAGAGAGCTATCTTATTCACAGACAGGGACCATTCAGATGTTTCACAGACTTCATTGTCCTTTTTTGTAGCTAACAAGCACAGAACATACCAAATGGCAAGGTCTGATGGTTAAAAATATGAAGACTCGGTGGAAAAAAAAAAAAACACAAACTGAGATGTGGAAAAGAAGAGAAGAATGAGTGGAACAAAATTCTCCTTTATGAGAGGTGAAGTGAAAAAAAAGAGCCCCCAAAAACCCCATAAAAATAAAAGAAGGGTGGGAGGAAGAGTTAAAAAGACAGACAGGCATAGAAAAACAAAAAGACAGATGAGGGGATAAAAGGAGGGTGAGGAGGAGCCAGCATGGTTGATTAATTTCAGAAAGTGCCTAAAGCTGTGGTCTGCCCACCCCAGTCGCTGCTTTGTAGCATCTTTGCCATGTGTGCCCCCCCCCCCAAAGTCACATTTGTGTAATTCAATTAGTGTGCTCCAGCAGGATTTGATAGATTTGTTTAGGCAGTGAACAAAACGGCTGGCCAGCTCTCACTAACACCCCAAATTAGCACCTTACTGTATGAACGGACACACAAACACAATAACCTCACTAGTACATGCATTAAACTCATCTGAATGCACAGAAGAGTGCAGACTGCAATCCCAATAAAACTTTAATGCCTCAGTTTCTACTGACAGCTTTTTCAAATGTTGTATGCTTACCATATAAAAGTGCAAACACATAAAGACATGTGTTTAATAACTGAGAAAGGTATTCAGGCCACACCTGAAAAAAAATTTCTAAGGGTAGCTAGTGCTACCCCTCAAGTAGATGCACCTATGGTTTAAATGTGAAAAACCTAGGTGCTTTTCAGAAATGCTGTCCTCTGACCCTGAGTTCAAAATCTTTTGAGATTTTTAGTAGCTGTACCTATTGTTATCACATTCACAACCTTGGGTGTCCACACTATTCGCCTGGCCACCCGTCTGCCTGCTCGGCAGGGTGACGATAATTCCCCATCAACCTTTTGCGGCTGAGGTGTATAAAGCAAAAACAACCAAACCAAAGCAAACCAAAATTTTGTTTTTCATTTTCACAAACTGCTGGTTAATTTAAGTTTTGTAACAGCTGTTTCAGAAAACAGAACTGCACAATTAACAAAGAACTGCTGAGTTATGGGACATCAATTCTGTTTGCAGCTATAAATGACAACACGCTGGAAGTTACAGACTTCAGCTGTGTACCCGCAGCTTTAATAACTGCATAAATGAAGAAGCCAGTAGCGCTACATGGCAGCCAAGTCTGGACTTGCCATTTTCTCACTGTCTCTCCCCTCTGTCTGTGTCCTGGCTGTCACTCCGCAACGCTCTGCCACCACCCCAAGGTCATTATGCTGTGATCGCACCAGCATGAGGCTCCACGTGTGATGCCACTGTTGTCAGAGCCCATCTGGTGGCTTGTAACGCTCCCATGAAATTAGTAATGAAGCAGGTAGGGAGTAGAGCTACCTATACAGCGATCGCTTACCTCAAGGCTGGCACCTGCACGGCTTCGTATGGAACTAAAATTAATTGAAATTGTAAATTATGGGAATCAACTCTATCACAGAGTGAAATAGAAACGACTCGGCAGTGAGACAACAATGCTTTCCCTAAAGATCTGTACACAGAACACCTGCATGTTCATAGGTCCATATGAACATGTCATTCTCAAACGCCTCAGTCTTCTATTATAATTTTAGTCCACCTCCAACTCCTACCCAATTTGTTTTGTAATTACATATGCGGCATACACTCCTGACAGCAGGTCAGTATTGGCAATGGGTGAAAAATCGTCTTTTTCAAGCTGCTTAAGTCATTATGCAAATGCAGAGTTCACAAGTTACATTTGTCACAATATGATTTATGAGGCCTTCTTAATTAACCGAGAAGATGCAGGGAGGGCTTGGATTGGCTGTGTTGGACTGCCGACTCTTGTGATGTGCTTTAATATGTGTGACAACATGGTACCGTTTAAAATATTTCCATGCACTGGTTGTGTGAAACGATTGAGGATGGAGGACCTCTGGACCTACTGTGGGGTTTTCCCCTTATTTATCATAACATCTAAATCCATCCATACATCCATCCATGCTCTTCCACTTATCTTCATCAGGGAACTCAGGGGAATAAATAAATATATAAATCAAAAACACGAGCTGAATTCATCCCCTTGCTTACATGGACAACCATGGGAAACTGAGATATTCACTCACCTGCTCAGCCTGTGGAACAAAAGTGTTTAAAAACAACCCCGCTGAATCAACCGAGAATGAATGTTTCAGTTATAAAGTGGGATAGATAATTACAAAGGAAAGTTAAAATGTCCAGGGGGGGGGAAATGAGGGGAGAAGAAGAATTATTTGAACAAAGCCTTTGTGTAATTCACAGGAGTCACACCGCTTCACACCTGTGTCCTTCCATTCTTACCTTGATATCCTTCCATTCATCTATTCATCCTCTGAAGTTATAAAAGCAGTTCTTTTGTATGTTAAAAGGATGCCCATGCTGGCATTTTCTCAGCAGCCTTCCTAAATTTGCAGTTATAGGTTTATATCCCGTAGAGTAACATGAGGGAATTAAAGCAACTTTTGTAACTTTTGTTGCCCCTGATATCTTATCTTTTTCAGGGAGGTGCATTCAAATATAAGATGAGGTTAGCGTCCTTGCAGTTTATGCACAAATGAGGAGGATATCAAAGCAGGGCTGGAGGAAAAAACTGTTTTTAACAACCATTCTGCCATGAACTTGTTGATGACCTAAAACTTTATTGTCAGAGGTAAAAAAAACAAAAGGAAAACCAACACAACTCCTAGCAGAGCTCACAGGCCTCACCATTCATCTGTTTGCTCTTTTAATCTAAAGTTTCCTGATTTTTAATAATAACAGGAAGATACAAACACAGAACACACTGACACACACACACACACACACACACACACAGGTGGAAGAATAGTACATCAGTGTTGACATTAAACATGGGAGTATCAAACATACATGACAAATGTGACACAGAACACGAACACAAATGGGGTCTTAATGACAGCGGGAAGAGAAAACGGTTGTAATTTTTTTAAAACCAGGAAAGCCCTGATTATTTCCCATATTTATTCACTTTGGCGGAATTAGAAGTGGTTATATTTGATTATGTGTCAGTTAAAGTCTTTTATTTTTCTCCTGTTTTTATCGTGATGGTTAAGCATCTTACCTCGAATCGGGGTACCCACTGGAGGAGACACAAAAATGAAGACACAACATCAGTGAAGTTCAAGGTTAATATTAGTAATAGTTAGAGGAGGTGTTTGGGTTAGATGGGTCACTCAAACTTGGCGATTAAACCATTGGGTAATCTTGTACATATAAGGGGGCTAAAAGAAAAAGAACAATCTAACTGCCGGTATCACAAAACAATGGGGAGTTTTATCGCGCTAACCTACTGCTGTCTTTTTGGCCTTCGGTCGTGGCTGTAACTTAGGGTGATGAGGCAAGCACGAGAGGTTTGGTTTCTTAGGTTGACAAGTTATGCTCCTGCGGCATTTTTCCAGCCAGCTGAACTTGAACAAGGTGTCCGTAAAAACTGCAACTATTCAGTACTGAGCATCCACATTAGCGTTGAACCTTAACATGTTAAAAGCGGAGGAAGAATCTCCACTGAGCAAGAATTTCAGGTTGTGCCTTCAGGCAACCGCAAGTTAAATCACACAGGCTGAAGTTCTTATTTATCCTACAAGTCATAAACCTGTTTAACTGTGACAGATAGGCTCTTTACCTCAAGTTTCATCCCATATCCCCAGTCATTCAATCTCCCTGCTTTTTCCAATTGTTTCATTTCACTGAGAGTTGTATGTTTCTCTATCTTTGTTTATTGTGAGGCTGTATTGTGTTACGTGGCTGACTGCAAGCCAAATGTCCCATTAGGGACAATAAAATATTGAGCTTATCCAGTCACTGGCCGGTGGGCTTTTTAAGTGTAGTTTGAAATGTTGCATTGTAAAATGCTTCCCTTACAGGCACAGCTTTGGGTGTGGGAAGGGGAGCCAGCTTAACTTAAACCCCTTCAAATTCAAATTAAACTGTCCTTCCACTCTTGACTGTTTTTTATAATTCCTTTTTGTTTTCTTGCTTTAGCGGCTCTATTAATTTTCTCTCTTTCACCCAGTTTTAGAGTTTGTTTGCTTTTGTGTGTGTATCCGCAGTATTGCTTCTCTCTTAGTCTGCATTTTTAAAATCAAAGGATGACTCATGGCAACAATGTGCCCTTGGTTATTCCTACTTGGCATAGACTGCCTGCACCCACAGGGCTAAGGATCAAGGGTTCTCACTATCCACTGAGCCTAACATTTGAGGTTTGGCCCATGTATAGGCATGCAGTCATGCATACTGCCCAGAGAAAATACAGAGGATCTGTTTAAGTAAGTTTTGATGATATTTTCCCGAGTGTGACATTTTTCCTCGGCAGTGTTACGGACACTTGTTCTGCTTTTGGACAGTTATATGTTGACATCATGAGGGTCTGTTTAACTACACCCTGTTTTTCCCACCACTGTTACTGACAGGTCTAATGAGTAGTGGAAGAAGCTTGATTACAAAGTGATGGTTGTGGGGCTGCACAATGACTAAGGCATATAAAACAGAATCAGGCATATTTATAGCTTTATTAAGCTGACAGTGAAACTGCAGTGAAACTGAAACTGTTTCTGTTGATTTTGAAATGCACACATAGTTTTATAAATCTGTTGGATTTTTTAAAAATATAATCTCAGCCCTGCATTTTCCATACTTTTTACAGTGCAACGAGGGGTGTGAAAATGTTTAGCACCTTCCGGTCAGATTATTACATTTTTGTGCCATCTTTCGTGATACCAGCAATTAGGATTCAGTCACTGAGTTTGAAGTTCTGCCTGGTTTACAATGCTCCTTTTTGCTCTATTGGACTATGTTATATATTTCTACATCAAAAAGTTTACATTTATGTTTTTAACATAAGCATTTGTTGACATTTACTGTACTGGAGTTTAATTTATTGCTACATTTATTCACATTGTGATTAAAGTGGAAAATCAGGGTATCTCTTATGTTCTAGATTTGCCTAGTCTATAAAGACTCAACGTTTTGTAGCCACAAACAGTGTTACTGTGCCACGGTGATCACTTAAGAGTCATTGAAAAACCAGGCAAAATCAAAGTGACAATTTATTCATTTCTGCAATAACTCTGGAGACCATATAAATATAGGTGATCACAAGACAAAGGACAATGGGGCTGGGAAGGTTACGTTGTTATAAAGTTAGAGTTTGATTAGAGGCTGCAGGAAGCTGGTTTATCTTGCTTTAGCTCAGATGGATTTTAGTCGGGAGTTAAGAGGTTACTAGTTGAAGGTTAGAGGTTAAGGTCAAAGTTAGGTTAAGGTTAGAGTAAGGTTAAGGTTAATAAAGCAGGTTTAAAAAGGGGAGGATCTTATGAAGGCCAGTGTGACAAAAAACTGAGAAGGAGATGAAAACAATAAGTTAAATGAGGAGGATGGTGGATAAAGGAGAAACAAATACACACAGAGTGAAAACAAATGCGATTCTTTGGTTTGTAGTGGTTTGCAATTTCTAATTTGTGAATATAAAAAGGCATGAGAATGAAAATCTAAAACTTTGTTGAGGAAGGCCAGGCAGGCTGGGTCCACAAGGCCAGCCAATATTCAATTACAACGGCAAATCCACCTGTATTACGGGCATGCAACCTAATGGCCATAAGCTTCCCATCTAAGCTTTGGTCAGCCAGGGGTTGATCAGATTAGGGTGAAAATGACCTAAATATATCTCAACATGCCGCTGTCTTCCTCATATTATCAAATGTGGCATTATTTTTTTCCACAGAACACCCCAGCTATTTTGTTAAACAATCCTCTGAATATTTTTTTAAAAAATTATTAAAGTCTGTAACCAGATGGCCAGATTGTCTCTGGCCAGAGATGTTACACATCTGTGTGGGGGGGCAAATAGGGTTGCGTGATTGGCAGAGTGTCAGAGTCTGGCCACCCTCAAGAGGGCGTCTGGCTGACCTTCTCGTCACCACAGACACTAGCCTCGGATCCTGGTGGTGTCACAGCAGGCCGGAGGGAAAACCTAGCTGTTGTTACGACCCCTGCAGAGGTTCGAGCCACTCTCTTCACAGCAGCTTTGATGACACTGGATTTGAGTGTTTACCTGTTACATGCAACTCTAACTAAGCTCAATATATGCTTAAAAGTACCATCTAATGTCACGGTCCTGATTTTGAGCCTTTATTATAGAAAGGACATAAATCTTTAGAACACTTTTGCCCATCCTCTTACTGTCATTGTGCCCCGTAGTTAATCTGTTCTGGCTGACAAGGCTAGGGAGGGCCTGAGGTCTGGAGACATAGGAAGATAAGAAGAAATGTCAAGCTCCCTACACACCTCTGTAGGAGGTCCTCTGGAAACCCTGATGCAAATATCGCTTCTGACAGCAAAGCAGGGACTGGAACATAAGGAACCAGTCTGTCAGCTAATCAGCTATGTTGGAAACAACGGTAATACATCCAAGTGGTGATGCTATTTCCGTCTTTCCGTATCTTTTCCTTTTTTTGGGAGCGCAAACACTTTAAATCAACATTCACATTTCATGATTTAAAGATGAAGGCCAAATAGAAGGAAATATAGATTCTTTGCAGAAGCTGGAAGCTGGGAAAGTTTTTGAAATGATGGACTTTGGCTCACTCTCCATGGTCTCCTTTCTCCTGCTTCTCTCCCCTTCCTTTTCCCCTTTAACCACCGTTTATGGCAGAGGGCCCACCAGAGTTA